AGGGGCCCCTTTTTCGTGCTTGCCTCGGGAGAAGTTTTCAAATTGATAAAAAAAAGTGTAGGGGTGTTCCATAATAAAAAGCATGCTGAAGAAGCTCATCCGATATCTGCACATCGCAAGCAGTGAATGGTGCGCATAAATATCTCGCCCTTATTGCTGCTGGCACATGCATGGCACGTGGCAGAGCAAGGCGCCACTCGTTCAAATCTGCGCTCAAATGCCTCTAAACTTCTTTTTCTTCCCAATAATTTTTTTATTGTGCCTTTTTATATATACATACATATACACATCAGGGTAATGATGGGGACGGCAACCATACTGAGTGTGTCTGCATGGGAAGCCAGCGCTGCCAAGGTGGCACATCAAAAATTTACACGATACACCGACCTGGCGAGCTGGCTGTGAACCAGCTAGTAGGACAGAGCCGCCACGAGGTATACTAAGGGCATGTTTAAATGTGCCTTCATACATGTTGCACGCGCTGAAACGCATGGTGAACACCATGCAACACGACACTCGGCTTTTCCCAATGTGCGTCCTGTTGTAGGTACTTTGGTATGCCCAAGACCAGCGAAGAATTGAACACTTTGCTGAAAGGTGTAACGCAGCGGGCGAGCAGCGATTATTCTCCGCTACAGTTTCAGCAATGTATTGTGCGCAGTCGAATACCTCTGCGAGACTGTTGTTGAAAGGACGGACGCTGTCCAATGCGAAGTCCGTTTATGACACAGAAATGATGTGACCTTTCGACAAAGTGCCAAGCATGGTGCAGCATAAACTTTCAGGTGAATGTGTTCAAATAGTACTTGCAAAGCTCAACGTAAAGTGCAGGTTGCTCATTATCTGCCCGCTTTGAAGCAAATTTAGTACTTTCTCAGGCAGCACTGAGATAGCATTCAGCCCAGTGACAGCTGGTTTGAGCGAGAACATCATGTTTACACAGTTGGTAGTCACAGTTACTGCACTATAATTGCAGAAACTGTTTCGCTACGCGCTTTCCTTTATGGTGCGTTTAACAGGTTCAACAGCCAACGTGAACCCCCAAAATGCTGGTATCGCAGTCTTTAAAATAACTTTTACACACTGACGGTGAACCGTGAAATGAATGTCTAAGGCAACCTTCGCATGAAAGGCCAGTGTAAAGCAGAGTTCAGTGGTATTAGCGGAAATGCAAACATGTCGCAGCGGTTGTGCTTCAAACGAAGTTGACTCCCCGATGCCCAAGTCTGATAATTAAAAAAAAAGACCTTTGAACAACCTCATGGTAACCGAGTTGAACGATATCATTATATGCGCTACGGAATGTGGTGGTTTCCATGGCTGACATGCAGTGTGTTGTCAGTAATGCAACGTGCATAGATCATCACTGTTTTTCTAGCAGTCATCTTGTAACCGGTGTGGAGCTGTGCATGTGACAGTCAGATATAATACCATATTCACTTAAACAGGACGTGTCTTTTTTTTAATTTGAGATTTTCGCTACAAAATGCAGGCCTCCTGATCCGAAATCCAATTTTTTTTTTCTTTCTAGACGTGATGAAATGTCATCCGTCGCGTTACAACCATCGTCGTATTACAATCGCATAAATACAACGTGTGTGATACACAGTGCGATGCTTATGCAACGTAAGTTTTCATGTGCTTTCCTGAACGTTTTCAAGGCAAGCTTCAATTGAAAAACTTGTGATATTTCACAGAGCACCAACCCATGTGCATTGGTGGAAATCGACGCTGGAGGGGGTCGATTATGCAACTCTGTATTATTTTTGCCCGTAATAGTCACCGATTGATAAATCAGACACCAATAATTTGGACATAGAAATAACGTGTAAAGACGACTGACATTTCATAAAACCTGCCAGAACTGCATTCGATAATCTGGACTATGTTTAAAACTGGCGCACACACGGAATTATCTCCTCTGGTACCCATACTACACAAAGTATGGCCTCAGAGATGAAACCGAAAGAAAACTGGTGATTTGTGAGGCTTTACATCGATTGCCTGACAGCTTTATAATGCCAATCTTGGGGCACTGCTCAACTTTAGGAGGCCGTATTTAACATTGCGAACATCCTATGTTCCGGAATTCCCCGCGCTGTTATGGCACTGTACTGCTATTGCCGCCATTCTGTCTTATGTGTCTGTGGTACGGTGTTCTGCTGAATTCTGTGCATGTTCATTTTTGTGATGGGACCTGCTTTATTTCGCGTTCAAAAAGATCTGCGTCCAAATATATCTGTGTTAAATGGCACCTTCACAGCCAGCGCCGACGATAACAAAACATGGCAGACATGCACAAAGCTAACCATGGCCAGGAAAGCTAATTTCATTCCGAGAGTGCTCACTGGTCGTCCGCAAGTCGAAGTTGCCCGAGAGTTCAAGAACCCCACACCGCACCTGAAGAGCCGGACCTGCCAACCAGCACAACGAGCTCAAGTGCAGATGTTATTGACGACCTGCAAGGCTGCGGTGCGCCGATTCCCGACAAAGTTATACGTTTGAAGACTTCCCAAAAGTCGGCAGTTCTGTGTTGACGTGTGCCGAATTGAACAACGACGACATAATTGAGCAGGCTCTGCAACTGCCAAACAGTGACTGACTCTGATGATGATGCACCGCTTACTCCGGAGTTCTCGCATGCGGACCTGTCTCGAGCTCTTGCAATTCTTTCATCGTCCTACCTGTGGTCCTACAGCGAGCATACCACACTGATGGAAATACAGACGGACTTGGTTGTATGTAAGTGGAAGTGCATGCAGACACGCACTGACAGCTTTTCCCAGCCATTGGGTCACTGAGGCATTAACAAAAGTATTTTTTTTTTCAGACGCATTCGTTTTTTCGGACATTCGATGATTCGGACTTGCAGTAATACCTCTTTCACTCAAAGTCGTGGAAACCAGAATAAATTTCGAGATAAATGGACTTTTGAGAAACAAAGTTGCACTAATCGCCAGAAAAAATCAGCACTTTTCAGAAAAATCACTGCTACCTACTAGCTCTTCAGTGGCAGTTTCTAATCTTCTCGTGCCGGTTTAAAAGAGAAAAAAAAAACAACATACAAAATACCAGCTGGCTGGATTTTGCCGCATCAGCTGCTGTTGGAACTTTTTTGCAAGGTCAGAGCCTCTGCCTTCATCATTATTGTTGTGGTGATGGGAAGATTGGCCACTCTGGCATTTCGCATCAATACCATCAACACCGCTTTGACGTCTGGGAATTTCGACCCTCAAACCCACTTCCGCTGTGTGGAGAAGCTCTGCTAAAATCCATCCAGCACCTCCTGCATGTTTTTCAGCACCGTTGCAAGAGCACACAAACGAATGTCCCAATTCTCGCACGATGCTCGATTTCGTTCGGTATACTTTCTCCCCGTCCTTAGTTAGGGCAACCTTTTCTCCTCGTGTTAGCCACTTGCACTGCTTTCACGCCATGCTTGCCGCACTCACTCTAAGTTGCCGCTCTCCACAGTGAGTGAAAAATCCTTACTGCTCGGCTTGCACAGATGAACTGAAATCACACTTTAGAAAAAATCATGTGCACTGCACAAAGTGAACGAGACAAACTACGCCAAGCGTGGGCAAAGAGCATCTCTGCTCAGCGCATGTGTAACATTACGTGTCACAGGTTTGCTTGACAAAGTTGATAAGTCGCGGGGCTGAGACTTCGTGTATGCGGAAAGCATTGACGTAGTGGCAGGCACGGCTAAATATGAAAAAAGATTGACGGACTTCAGGTGTGGCAGCATCGCGCAAATCTTACGAAATGGTCCGGCAGCGAAATTTTCGTTCCATTCCCAGTCAAGATTTCGAGTTATCTGCAATTGGACCCCAATATACTTCAAGATAAAGGAAAAAATATATAGGACGTATAGAAAAATGTTCGGTGCCTCAAAAAATTTCGACTTGGGCGATTTTTCGAGATATGCGATTGCGAACTAAGAAGGTATTACTGTACGTACATTCCCCGTGGAGTCCAAATTATCAGTCATCGACTGTATTAATAACTTTTTGTGGTTGCGTCATTTGTGAATACAACAATAATGCCAGTCTCGAAGCTTCTTTTTTTTCGTCTGATCCTCATGCACAGCGGCATAGTTCACGTTAGTATTTGTTGGCACGCCCGGATGTTTTCGGCCGCACTTGGCAGGGCGAAGCTCTATGTCCGCAGAAACTACAGTGCTGGTTCCCCATAGTAATTGCAATAACAATAAAATATGATGCGATTGTGCGATCAAAACAACAATGCATTTTTGCACAGCTGATCTTGCGCAATCACCCAAGGCACACATTTTGTAATGAAGAATAAAATGCATATATGGAAGATGTTTCAGCGCGCGAACAAAGGAAAAAGGACAGGGTAGACAGAAAGAGCGCTGTCAAGATCAGCGCTCTTTCTGTCTACCCTGTCCTTTTTCCTTTGTTCGCGCGCTGAAACATCTTGCAAATATGACTACGCACCAACTAGCCCAAGTTTCCACTCTTGTGAGTTGCATATATGGAAACATCGACAACACATCAGATGTATCTAACTCATTCCATTCACGAGTAGCAAAAAAGGAAAAGAAAGGAACGAGAGAGAGCAAAAACACCTGTGTGACTGCCCATTTCATAATTTTTTTAATTATTACTTCTATGTGATATGCAGTATGGGCTCATCACATATAAGCTTTTCTTAACCATGCAAGAATCATTCTACAGACCTAATTTAGTTTCATTGTGGCCGGTATCAAGTCCATGATCTTTGATATCCGCAGCCGAGCATCACAACTGCTGTAACACTAAGGTAGACAGTCACAGCAAAAAGAAAGATAAGCTGCAGCTCAAAACTTCAGCATGACAGCAAGATATGACCTCCACTGCCTGCTTTATCTCTACATTTCTTTTTTTTTTTTTTTCAGGTTACTGAGAACTTCCTTACGAGATAACGACATGTATTACTAACAAATCCACAATTTCTACTCACTAAAGTTTAAGTGATCTTAAAAGGTACCATACCTTGGCAATACCGAGATAATTTGGCGATACAGCACATTGGGCCAGCTGCTCATAGAGCTCCTTGCGCTCTACGGGAGTTAGTTCAACGACATCCAGTGCATCTTCACCGCTGCCCAGGCCACATTTCATCAGCAAGACAGATGCGATGAGTTTCGTCGCTTTAGACTGAAACAACATGCACAGCACATTGAATTCAATAGCGACAGGATTGAACTGCTAATGACAACCAGACAAAAAATGCTGCCCAAACAGCACAACATAGAAAATAAAGCTAGCTGTGCCAGGTCAGTTCGTGAAATGGTTCAGTGTCAAAAGTCTGAGTGTCGAAGGTCTGTTGCTGAAGAGCTTGGCATTTTTGTCTCTGCAAACTGAAGCCCTTTGGATCAAAAGTCAAACTGAGCCAATAGTACTTATTTTATGCCATTTCGGCACGTGCAAATGTTTCTATACTTACATGCAAGTCTATGTTAGTACTAATTCTGCCATGACTGGCCACGTACTTCGACCATAAGTGAACTTTCGAACATGGGTTGTACGTAATATAAAGTTCCCAAGACGCTGCAGTCACGAAGAACGCTGTTACATGGGATCCAATGGCACTGGTGTGCCGCTCTGTTCTGCCTCTCACAGGCCCCTATCTGTGACGCACGGTCTTGGCTAGGACCTCCACGAGTGTAAACTTTAAAAGCATACAATGCATACCCGAATGAGCCTGCTGCGACACAATGCCAAAAACGAAACAACACTCCCATCAGTTGAAACCTCCAGAGCTGCTGAAGCCACGTAATTTCAGACAAAACTGCCTGGCGGCGAAACGATGGCGAACGTTTTTTTGGAAGAGAAGGAATTATTGCCGCGCGAATTCAAGCTGACCGATCCTACAATCCATGAGGAAACTCTTGTGAGAGGTTACATAACTTTTTCCGCACGATTTAAAACGAGAAGAGGGGCAGGCTCGGCACGAGAATGAGTTTCCATTAGGCTGATGCTTGTCAACCCATTGGCCAAATAACAAACGATTCCATCAACTAACTTGGATAAGCTACAGTTGCATGCCAAGACATAACCCTAAATGACTACCACTTTTTCCCAGAATTGAAGAAACACCTGGGTAGGTCACATTTCAGAAATCAAGAAGAATTGCAAAAGGATTTTAAGGCTCTACGTCGCACAGTGGGAGAGTTCTACGATTTACGCACAAGGAGGGGCCTTTTTCCAAACGGCAAGTCAAAGCTCGCCACTGCCAGCTGCGACATGCTTGCAACTCCCCTTCTGTGTTCTGTCCACATGTGGAACCCCATTGCATCCCCGCATCCCGCGAGCAGAGGTTGTGCTTTGTCTAGGGGTGCTGCCAAAAGCAAATACAGTAGACTCCTGCTAAACAAAACCTCAAAGAAGCAGGTAAATGTGTTTCGTCTAACAAGAATTTCGTTTACTGAGAAATTAAGAGGTGTGCAGAATTAAAGTGCAAAACCAATCATATTAGAGGCAGTTGTTGCATTCAGGCACCAGTTTCATTTAAGGGGGCCTTGCAACACTTTTTGAGCATGATCAGAAAACGCTGATCAGTAGTAGGGGCTCCCGAGAGCACGCGAGCCAAATATAGCACAGCAAGTGGCCTGGGACTCACAATAAATTATCAAAGTCAGATAAAATTGCTTTCTCTCCTCTCGAGAAATGACAGAAGATGCTCAAAAATCGCATGTACAAGGTCATCTATTCGCCATTGGTTGATTTGAGCATGGTGCGCACGGTCGTTACAGGGATCGCCGCAAAAGACTGCGACTTGTTCACGCGTGCGCGCGCGATCCCAATGAAAAAGTTGTGTATTCGAAGAAAAAGAAAACAGTGTTCAAGGTCGCGAAGCGCGGGTGACGTATATACTTTGCCCTTGCCACCCTGCCTTGCTTGGCTTACAGCACATTCATTGGACGAAAGAAGAGAGAATACAATATTGCAGTGTGCGACAAACTTTTGTAACTCCGCTTGTACTGGACGAATTCTTAAAATTTTTGTGGCGTTGAATTCGTGAGGCAATAACCTCGTTTAGCGAATTTATTCCATGATTACTTGAAAAAGTGTTTCAGGGCCCTTTTAAAAGAGCTTCGTACGGAGAGTCTACTGTAAAGTGTTTGTTGCATTACATCAAACTCTACATTGAACACAATGTCTTTGTTAGCCAAGCATGCGTGAAGTGGTGCACTACATGTGAGTAAGCGACAGTGGATGCAACCCTATAACTCGCTAACCTGAACTCGACTATGGTGAGTGTCAAGGCTACCACAAGGCGCACAGACATGCAGGGTGCGAAAGCCAAAACAGAATTTGGAGCAACTTCTGGAGCTGCAAAATGTTACTTCTGGAGCCCTAAAATCGAAATTTGTAGCAGGTTACGAGAAATAAAACACCACTTTTATCACGATTGACCAAAGCAGTAAAAAAAAAAAAAAGGTTTACACTTAAAAAACATATGCACAAAACATTCAACCCACCTAAATCGTGCAGAGTAAACATGAGCACAGCTATTTAAAAAAAAAAATAAACACTGATCCCATGTCACATTCCTCAAATGCCATAACCACGTTTGATGACTGGGTAATTCATATTCAGCATTGATGGCTACAGCAACGAATTCTTTTTTGCTTAATGTTTCGTCGTCCCACCAATAGGTATCCGCTATGGTCAACGAACCGATGGGCATGTCGCTTTTGTAACTTTATTTTATACTTTATCTGGTTGGTAATGTATCGCAAGTGTTCTCATTTAACGAGTACGTATATAGCTTACACCGTGGTTTAGGGTAACGTTCTGCGCACTTTGCTTCATTTTTGACGCGAAATGCAGGTGGCCAATGTGGCCTCCATTTTTCGCTGATATTGGTGCAACTGAGAAAACTTTGAGGCTGGTCGGGCATTTTGGCGAGCGTGGTGCAATTTCAGGAAATTTCATGGTTCTGGCACAATTAGCACAGTTGTTAGATTCCTGCATGAGTTCCATACATAACCATAGCTGAAGTACTTTTTGCGTCAGACATGGCTTAGTTAACAAGGCTCTACAGTACATGCACAATGAAATGGCAATTTTATACAGCGAGAGCCTGAATACGTACGCGATTGAGAACTACGTACCCTGGAGCATTTTCTCAGGGACAGCTGCACAGATTTCTTGAAGGTGTTCAACCACAGCTCCTTCCAGCCATCAAGCTTCTTGGAGCACCACATCACACAGAAGCCATGGATGGAGTCGAGCAGCCGTCCGTCTTCCAGTAGAGGTATCACACCTGAAACAATGGAAAATTTTGTCCCCAAGAATGTTATCTATATTGAACACATTACAAACATCAACAGAGCAGAACCATTTAGGTAGTGAAACTATATCTATAAAGCAACAAACAAACAAATATATGTTCAACACAGCTTCTCTCAGGATAGTTGTGCATTACTGTAATGTTTCGTCAACTGTTAACGGGAGCATGGGAATATGTGGTGGCCCCACTAAAATGCATTGAGGATACAATATGCACTACTGCGTACGTACGCTGTAATCATATGAGGTTGCATGGGCTGCTTCAGTGCTCAAGCATCAGCAGGGGTGCAACAGCTGAAATGGAATTTGAAGCAATTTTCGGAGCAGCAGAATCTTACTTTTGCAGCTCCTAGCTCGAATTGGGAGCAGGTTATGGGAAATTAAACACCTATTTTTTATCATGAAAGACCGAATTTGGAGCAAGGACGGCTTACATTTAGAAAAACAAAGTATTTGCAAGCCATTCAACATCACCTAAATCATGCAGAGTAAGCATGGGCACTGCTGTTTCAATAAAACTCGTACTTTGATTTACCCACTGGGCAAACAAGGATCGAGACCACATTAGCACTTGCCGCGTCTGTCAAATTCTTTCACAGAATACGTGAATTAAAATGTGGGCCTGCCAAGCTGGCGACCTTGAAATTCAAGGGATTTGTGAAACTTAGAAGAATGAGTGGCAAAACAAAAAAAGAAAAAAAAGTTTTTTTTCTGGGAGGGGGGGGGGGGGGCAGCAGAAGTGCCATACATTGCTCCAAGTGATGCCAGCAACTTTTTCAGACGTCAGCGATCGTACTAGTACTAGTAGCATTGAACGAAATTCGCTGTCCCGTGAGTGGAGCTAACAGCCTCTTCCAAATCATTATACGCTTTTCCCCAGGGTATATTGCCCCACCCCCCCCCACACACACCCTGTCCCCCCCTTTTTTTTTTCTATAGGGATTAGGTTTAGGGCACAATATCTCGGCCCACTTGCAAGGCGCATTCTACCAAATAAAATAACAGTGGTGCACGCCCGTTAGTTCGGCGACAGCACCAGATAGCAATCTCATCGAGCTGCGAATCCTTGAGCAGCAAAGACACGCCTAGCAGCATCCTTTTTGCCTTGCTTAAGCTAAGCTCCTCTGTGTTGTCTATTTTCAAAAGATGTTTGGTTTGCTACCTTCTACTCTAGAAAGTGACCCGTTGGTTTTCTGTGTGGCTGTTCCAATAATATTGTTGACACACTGTGTCCCCACTTATGAGTAAATCCTTAGCCTGCATGGCAACTTACAGCTTGGGTGGCTGAAAATCAAGAGCTTCATATTTAAGGTTTTGGCTATCTGCTCATGCGCTGTACTTTAAGCTAATGACTGGAACATTTGTGTTCACTGCAGCTAAGGCAAGCATCGAGTAAATGGTCAGAAGTGCACGGCAAAATAAATTTATGTGCTGCCCCAGAAGACATGCCCAGGTCCACAGCATTGATGGCACATTTACCTTAATGCAAGAAAAAGTAAACATGGAGGAGCCGTATGCAAGACATCGAGAACACGATGGAAAATATAATTTCAGGACCACTATTATCACTCTTGGCACAACACACAGGGCACAAGTTGTCGACAGACTTACCACTTAGAAAAAAGGCGGAATTGGTGAGAGCATTGCACAGCGTGTCTGCCCTCATGGCCGCATGACACAGTGTGAGGAATGGAAGACATTCTTCCTCCTGCAAGAAAAATCCGGGAAAATTAGCATGCACATGCTGTGCAGGCATAGTATAACACTGAACAGGTGAATTTACAAGATGACACAGTCTTGTCAGTTCCAAATGAAAACCAAACAGCCACAAGCATTCGCAGCAGTAAAGTGCATGCCGTCCAGTTATCACGACGGTTGGGCGTGCATATGACGCACAGTGCTGCTGAACCAGACTTGCGTGCCTGTCAATGGCGGTTAGAGGTTGCACACTATACTACTATGAATGCTTGCCGCTGTTTGGTTTTCATTTGACGCAAATGGTACCAGAGCTTATTTACTTCGAAAAGGTGGCAGCTTTGTTCTTACCACTTATATTTGCAAGCAATACTGTAGTCTTGCTAGAACCGCATTGCCAAGATTGCTTTCAGATACCTACAGCAGAAATAAATTCTGCTGTCCAAGTTTGGCACTAGCAAGCACTTGGCCAGTTGCAAAATATGAGGTTCTGCAGTTTTATTTTCATTGGCTGCTCCCTTCACCCCCCCCCCCCCCCCCCCCTCTATGTCATTTTACCCACAGTTGCGGAAATATCGGGTACAAGGGTCATGCAGCAATACTTGTGGCCAATTCAGTCGTTGACATTGTGCAGATGCTTAGGCTATCACAGGAGAAGGCTAGACCAGCTGAATCAAAAAAATGAAAATTTAGAGTGCTGGCCAATGTGGAGACAACCAGATATCACAGTTACATAATGGTGAAGATTACATACGGGGGAAGAAGTTACATGATGAGGAAGAGACCCTTCAGCACTTGCTTTTTCACAGTATGGAAACATTGCCAATCAGCAGTTATAGATCATGTGCACACACAAGTCAAATATAATTTTGGCAACTATGCAGCAAGTGTGTTCAGTAGACATATGCACGGCCAGAGGGGAAGATACGGGTCAATCAAACCACCATGCCCCAAATGAACTATGTATGCATATATATATATATATATATATATATATATATATATATATATATATATATATATATATATATATATATATATATATATATATATATATATATATATATATACATGCAAATATTTGCTACAGGAGGAGAATCATGAGGCAATAGAGTTCCAACACTAAAGTAATTTTATATCTCTAATATTGTAGAGCCCCTTTAATTAATGTGTTTATGAATTATGTAGGGCTGAGAACAGACGTGTGTACCTAATGACACTGTCTTTTTTTTTTCCGTCTTGTAGTTATGAGATTACTTATTTTACTCTGCAATGCTCAGAGTAATCAGCTACTTTATTGATGACAATACATAAACAATTAAGCTTTGAGCACCAGATTTCGGTTGTAACTGTAGTAGACTACCTGCAATCATGTTAGAAGTAGTCTTGTGGTTGTGCATGTCCTTCCTTGTATCAAAGTTAATGGAAGGTGTTTGCGAACTAAAAATAGCATATGCCAATTGCCACTATACCTTTTCGTATACTATAAAGGCATACCTTTGCAGATGCAAGCACCCTTGGCAACGTAATCACAATTTACTGAAGCATTCGTATAGACTATAACACTGCCGTTTACGCCATTACAGCGCACATCGAGCAAGTCTCTGGTAGCTTTGCCCAGGTGCTTAAATGACAAATGTTGGCCACCAAGATATTTCTGACTAACAGGAAAACACCAGGGCAATAAAGAAACATAACACAAGTGCAGCCTTGCATTTCCTGAGTGGCCTCACGCTTAGCGTTATTCCCACATTTTGACTTCAGTAAGGATTACAGTTTTGTTCAACATTAAGCTTATTCAAACCTTTTGCAAAGCAATTGCTTGTGCGAAGAAACAGAACACAGCAATATACCCGGACCCGATCAAGTCCCATACACTTTGTGAAACATAGCAAACAAAAATCAAGTTATGGAAAATAAATCAGTAGTTTTTCATTGGTTCCACAATAACTTCTAACTGGTCTCTCTCTCTCTCTCTCTTTTTTTAAGGAGCACTGACACCAAATTTTAAGATCGAGAAGATGTGTCCATCATTCCATCGCTTGGTATGCATAGGTCTTCTTGACCAAATTTGAATTGCAGCCATCGCGTGGAAGTTATTTTAATTTTATGTCAAACATTTTTTTATGTCAAACATTTTATGTCAAAAAACGGAAAATAGACTGCCCCGCGACATCGACACTAGTGCTACAGGTTCGGTGTGATACATTCCACAAATACCATCCTGAGTGACGATACGCTAGTAACAATGACGTTGACGATCCGAGTGTGTTGGAGCAGACTACCAACCATGCCCTCACTAACGGCTCTTCTTGCTGTGTTGAAGCGCGCGTGCAATTCATAGTGCCTCATCGACTGATGTGACATGTGCTTCACAGCGCGAGTACGATCATCCAGAGTGACAACACGTGCTAGAATGTCGGGGAACCACTGCGCAGTGAGAAACTGCACGTCGAGGGACGGAGAAAGCGGAAATTGCGTGGCGTTTAAGCCACAAGCCTCAACGCAGCCAGTTGGGTGGGTTGAATTCGTATATGCCAATGGACAGAGGAACTGGACGCCTAAGAAGAACAGCTGCATTTGCTCGCTTCACTTTGCGCCGAGCGGCTACAAGGTAAATTCTGTGTTGGTGAATGAGTTGGGTTTCACTAGCAGTATGAGGATATTTAGGTGGCGTTGCCTCTTCATGAGGTTGGGGGCTAAAAAAAGAGGGGGAAGACGAGTTGGCGCAACTTAATTTAGCCGGCAGAAAACGCATGGAGGGGCTTCAGTCTACATCAGAGACACAGCTGGACTGACTGCACGTGCGCTCCTAGCAGACGAAACGCCAGTGTGCGTGACGTTAGCATTTTTTGTGAAAGCAGCATCAGCTGTGCAGCGGCCTTGACATGGCTGCAAGGTAGCGCTGACAGCACTACAATTTGGCGGGCTTCCGACCTATTTTGAACCACATTCGATAGCGGATATATTAATCAATACTACAGATATTCATTCGAACCTCAGATGCGTTTTAGGTCGAGAATGGCTACTAGGGGGTCGATAGCTACTCGTTGGCGCAAAAATCTTGATATGAGTAAATTTGATGTCAGTACTCCTTTAACTTTACAACACTGGCTAGGCAACACTGGCTACAAGTGGATCATTGCATGGGAATAAAATGCCATCGCTAGCAAACACATTTTTTTTGTCTCTTTCTGTCACATTACATAGAAATAAAATGCCACTGCTAGAAAACACACTTTTTTTTTGTCTTTTTCTGCCACACAGTGAGCTGAAACTTACCAATCGTTCTTCAGAGATAACCTGAAAAACGGAAGTTTTAAGTTCTTCAAACACAGCCTTCCAAAGTGGCCCTAGCTCAGTGGAAGGCAATTCCTGGATCTTTTGTTCCAACTCTGCTTTCGCAGTAGCACCCTTCTGCAGGAAGAAAAAATTTATAACAGCACATGCAAGCACTTGAATCAAAATATTATTAATGACTTTGTCGGGGCCAACTTCATTTCATTAACAAACGAGACCTGATAGAAGAAATGAAAAGGAAGCAAGCTTATAAGGAACTTCGACAGGCTTGAAGTTGATATGCACCTACCAAGCACTTAAACCACAACAGAATGCATGGAAATTTAGTGAACCTACATCACAATTCGAAATATGTGCAGAACAACAGGAACCCCATGCTATATGTGTTTTGAGTGACACACATTGCAAGACATTAAAAACACTTTAGCATTGAGTATTTTGATCACTACATGACCACTGAGCTTTCTAAATATGAAATATATATAGATATATTGAGCATATAAGTTCCAGCAGTAATTATTTTGCACATAGCATTTGTGAACAAGAGTATCTAAAGCTAAATGCAGGGACGCACATGCAAAAAATAAGGATTGCAAGTGAGCCAAATGTTCACAATTGTGACTACACATGGCTGAACTCTATAATGTGGTTGCTTTTAAAGCCTGTTGCTGTGTCAGAAATATCATGCTGACCAATGCACTGCTCTAATGTGAACAGATCTAAGCCTTATGCTTTAAACCCATATTTTATGACATGCCAGGTGCATTCATTTCTTTTCATACGGACAGTAACCTATACAACAACCATTAGCACTAGCAGTATGTAACTGAAGAGCGTGAACATCCGAAAGAACCACAGGCCAAGGCACCGTTCTGAAAGGTTCACTTGCAAGTCAGTACACTAATTTGTCGTTCTTTCCTCAACTCAATGTTCGTCCTGTTCAATAATCTGCTGTTTGACAAGATGTATCAACCAGACCAAGTGACTGTGCAGTGCTGCTCGTTCATGTGGACATATGGTCTAGCCAAAAAAAGAAAAAGTAGCACGCTTGAACTTCAGGAGTTCCTGCCACTTCCCTGTAGATCTGTTGGCCAAGAACAGCTGTTCCGTTCAGATCCTAAAGTTAGTTTCTGGTCCGTGAAATCGCAGCGCACATAAACGACACTGTCACCGTGAAGTGGACATAAAAGTGTTCACTTCATTGAGTCTCTCTTGTGAGCGCGGCAGTTTCACAGCGAGAGGTTTACTGCAAGTAATTGAAGTCGCTGTGCTTTAGCAAACTGTGCGCATAATATAAACGATGCGGCGCACGGCAGGAAGCGCATTGTTTTGTGTCACTGCGTCGTAGTTAACAATTGTTCTATAACCTCATTCAACCACGCCACTCGCAGTTTTTAAGGCGGAGGCCTCTAATGTCTCGTGCACGTCCGTTCGTGCCCTAACAAGTTTCCAGCTGGCTGGCGGGGCGCGCCAACGGACGCCGGTCGCGTCGCACTACACAGCGCTCGCGCTTTGCTAGCGTCTCTGTGCCCAGCGTACCCACTCACGCAACATATGAGACGCGCGTTCAGTTCTAACCGACCCACTTCGGAATTGACAAAGCGTTCTTAATTTTTTTTTTTATCCACGATCAGCGGGGTCACCTCGCTGCAGCGTAATATCAACCCGAGGACGTGCTGTTGTTGCTGTGCGTACAGCACGCACAGGATCTGTTTAAGGGCAATCTAAACTCGTGTACGGGGGAAGTCATGGGCTACAGCCCTGAGAGTCAAGCGATGCCTCGGGGGGTGCGACTATTGACATTTTAGAAAATGGTAATGCACTATACACATATAAACATCGGTAAAATTGAAACTACAGCATGTTCAACCCCCCCCCCCTTTTTTTTTTGCTTCTTCATGAGGTCAACAGCGCGGCGTAGAATTTTGTATCGGAAGGAGCTTGACCGAAGGCGGGAACCGAAAGCAAGCAGCATATTTTGTCATCTTTCATATCACGACAGGTGTCCTAGAAGTGTGGCAGCTTGGGCTAGTTGGTATGGCATGACGATAGTTATAGCGCGAGAATAAAACGACGACACAGAGACAAGAAGGACACGAAAGACACGTGTCGTGTCTTTCGTGTTCTTCTTGTCTTTGTGTCGTCGTTTTGTTCTCGCGCTATAACTATCGTTAGGTGTCCTAGCGCACGGAAAAGTCAAACGTTGGGGAGGGCGAGGATCACAGAGCGCCGAAACATGGCGCCAAATAGGCGTGTGGCGGTTTGGACTAGTTTGTATGACATGATAAAGCCCAAACTCCATAAGCGCGAAAATGCACGCGACAGCGACGAGCGACGAAACATGGCGTTCGCGCGACGTGTCGCGTGCTCGTTTTCGCGCGATCGCTCGGTTCTCCAGATTTGGAAACCGTCGCTCATCGCCCGGAAGTGCTGGGCTCAAGCAGCCAATAGCGAAAAACCGGAAAAGACGAAGACTACATAGGTGCACGTGACCCTGCCCGAGTCACGTATGCGCAACAAGAAATAACGCAATGTTTACGCATGTGCATATTAAAAAAAAAGTGCTGCAAGCCGTTCATAAACACTTTCCGTTCAATTACACAACAATATATCGTATTTTTAAATTGCATACCGCTCACTACGCGGTTTTCTTGGTGCGAGTAGACTGCCCCATGCCAGCAACAGTGTAGTTCGCTCGCCGAAGCCGTTGCCTGCGCTAGCGACTGATCGCGCGAAGACGATCTACGTCGCATCGCTCGTCGCGTGCATTTTCGCGCTTATGAGGTTTGGCCCATAGTTATAGCGCGATAACAGAACGACGACAAGGGGACAAGGCGACGAGCGCTCTCACACGAAAATCACGCACCAGCTGACACCCATCCCCTTTGCTTGTGCACCATTTAAAAGGTTTGGGATTGTAGCAAGCTTCTTAGACCGTCAGACGCAAAATGTTGGCCACTGCCACATCAACTGACGAACTGCCAGAAAGCATGCGGCCCACTTTTTAGCGCAGCGACCATTTTGGTTGTGCGCCAACGCACAAAACACCTTCGACGATAGCAGCATGCTGAAAATCAAATCATTTTCGTTCCTTGCAACATTTGTTCGAAAAAAGTCTCAACGTAAGACCCACAGCTGACGCGACAGCATCCTCAGAGCACTTCCGCAAACGCTTCGATTCCCGCGCAGCTCAACCTATACACCTAAATTTGGCAAGTGTTCCTAAAGCGCCGTAATACCAGTACTATGCACTGAAAGTACAAAATAGTGACTTACGGAAGACGCGAGCGGCAGTAACTTCTCCAAGGTCGTTGAAGCTGCGGACGCCATCGGCCCAGATTTGAAAACGTACCTCTTGCCAAGACTTGCTCAGGGCAAGACCTGCTAGCCGTACCACTCAGGGCAACAAAATCGCTTGAGTTTGACGCCGTAACCTCTGTACGGACGCCAAAACATCGAACGGTGGGCGACGTTACGCAGCTGTTACCGTTGGCTCCGGCGCCAAACTATCCAAACTACTGCATTTACCTCATTTTACACTAGACCAATCACAGTCACTTTCTACCAAAAGGTAGAATTTTTTTAGTAACAACTAGTGTTATCACTGGTAGCTCTTGAGTGCAAGTGGTATGCAGCGCCACTGCAGCATATTTAGCGCCATCTATGTCATTTGCGATTGGACGAGCCTCAGCTACGTTTATCCACCGCGGCAGGCTGAGCCAATCAGCAATTTCTGATGTTGCAGGGAGCTCTTTCGCGCGATTTTCATCAAACGGAATGGCTGCTCTTGCTAGTTGATCAGTTACGTGCCGCGTAGGCAGCTGCGGTTTGCGCGCCTTTTTTTCTAACCCACCCGCCGATCGGTGTGAACCGGAGGCGCCAACATGAATCGGGGTGCAAACGCCGGGCACACAGTGACTACGAGGTCAGCCTTAAGGGAAATCACTAGAAGCGGTAAGCTGTAGAATAAACGTATTTATATATTTTTTCACCACAGCAGTATTGCGACTTGTTTAGGCGTGGGGGTCATGTTAGCGCCCATCCAAGGGCACGCTAACGCCGTATTGTTCGGTAAGAGTGCTTGCAATTATGGAAACGAGGCACTGCTATTGTCACCGCGCTTAATCCTAAAAGTAAAACAGCCTCATTTCGTGCGTGTGCATTCCGCATTTCCATTGCTGCTGTACCGTTAAGGACTTCGCTTGCAGATGTGATTTGGTCATGCAAACCACGACATCACACGCAATGTAAACACGCTCCTGTTTCTCGTGTGATCTGCCTGTACGATTTACTTTCGTTGTATATTTCCCGCCGGGATCTCGCGGGTAAAGATCGTGCGAAATCTGTAGGCCTACACGCGGATTGATCGCTTGCAGCTTGTGTACCTGGTTCGTGGATTCGTAGCTAAAAGTTAATAAAACAGTGTGATGAAAGCAATAGCAGCGTAACGATCGACGATAGTGAGCGGCTTAAGCGAGTTGCTTTTTCGCGACGCAAGTGGGTAGTTTTGCGTTTCGGCATGTGTGGCGTGGCCAAAGCGGGGAACCCCCCCCGCCTTCGAAAATTTTATTTCGCTATACACACACGCGGTACACATACAAACGCATGCACGATCATGCATGAAATATGGTTACCCCCCCCCCCCCCCTCCCGAAAAAACGGCTACCCCGGTGTTCCTTTGACCGACAACTAGGTGAACTGGCAAAACCGTGAAAAACTTCTTTATATTCTAGTCGAAGCTGTTATTCGCTGCAGCCTAAAAAATAAAACTATGCGGTGTGCCATAGCTAAACAAGACAACTGCTGTAAGTACAGACAAGCATACAGCCATATCACAATAATTGATGCTCTAAGGTATAGTTCAATGTATCCTGACATCATGAGAACCTAGCTCACAAATGCATGTAGGGAAAAATTAATGGCTTCAAATTTTGTTTGCAGCTTATGGTTCACCACCTTCGGTTGGCAACATGGTACACTTTAGTTCTCCGTCCCCGTCTACATCACCTGATGAAGAAGTTGTCCGCAAGCGTGGAAGGCGAATCATACCACCAGGTATGTTGCACAATTTTTCGTACCGACATTGTCGGCACATACCAGCACACAATGACGACACCAACCGCAAGGTGCACAATGCTAAATACATTTTCTGCATTAGGCACATCAATGGCCATGGGATTTGCTTACCTTACAATTAGTGATCACAATGATCACACCGTTCGCTGGTTACACATAGTAAATAGTGATGCTCCTTTGCTAGAATTGAGAGTTCCGTATTTGCCACTATGTGTAGAGCTGGTGTGATATAGGTGGAGTTTGGGGGCCTCCAGTGTGGGAAGTAGCCACCTGTTCAATGATATTGGGCTATGCTTTGAAGAACTTGCATATGTGAAGTGTTAACCCTCAATTTTTGTCATTTTCTCTTCAAGTCTTTGTAGTCTTTCGGGTATTATAGTTGTTGTGCCGTTAAACTTCATAGACAGCAACGTCACCCTGGCTCACACAGTTCGAATAGCCGATATTTTAAGCACACACAAGGTAGGGACAAGAGAGGCCACAAGTTAGTGTTCATGCTGAACCCGCTCGTGCATCTACACAAGCTTGCCCGATTTCTTGGGATCTCCTCTTCTGAATCCTAACGCAATCTTTGCACTGCGACATTTTTTTGTCTGTTTCTTTGCTCAGGAAACCAGTTTGCTCTTACTCCCCCTCGCACACCTACAAAGCGTCAGCAGTCTCCAAAAGACAGCTCCAACTCGGAGCACACCCAAACACCCAGCAAGTCACAGCTGATGATGAGCCCTGTTCGAAGCTCTCCTAGAAAGCGTCTACTCCTTCCTGCCGATATTTCAGATGCAGTCAATGCATCACCTTCAAAAAAGGTAATGTTTCCCTGCAGTGCATACCTAATGAAAACCAACAAACAATAGAGTCAAGGGGGATAAAGGAGATGTTATTTGTACTCAAGTTTTCAAAAAAAAGTAGAGAAGACGTAAAGACAACTTGCTGCCAGCGGGGACCACGACTGCAATCCTTGGATAGCACGCCGGTGTTCTGATGGCGTAGCTATGGTGGCGGTCACCCTTCTATTCACTTTATCGGGAATATCTGTGAATACAAACCTTGAAGTGTTAACATACAGCATGTCAATTTTCTTGTTCCTGCGATGCATGCTGCGGTAACCTGCGTTCATTGTGTATGCACACTCAGTGAAACTGTTTATGTTCATCGCAGCTGGTCTCACCTGTGAAACGCCTGAGGCTCCAGTCACGTGAAGCTGAAGCAGAAACTGAAGTAGCCTTGACAGCCTTAACCAGGCCTCAGTTAATAGCCTTACTGAAGGACACTATGGCCCACAGCGCAGCAGCTAAACAGGTAACCCCCTTACGTTTCGCCGGTATAAATGGGTCATAGTAAACAAAAACCATGGTAATCAAAGTTAATCCCGTATTTATTACTGTGGAATACCTCATAATTATCAGGTTTTGACCTCTGAAACCCCAAAATAAGTGTTTTTTTTTGTTATGAAAAATACACAGAAATGAAATTTTCAACAATTATACGCAATGGATTGCATACAGGATGAGATGTAGACAATATGATGAAAACACTGACTGCATAATTACATAGGACTAGCATCACACAATCGTGAAGCACTACACAGAGCCATAAATGTCAAACTGATAAATGTACACTAGTAACTTTGTGCTCAAGTAAACAGCGATGTGAATGAATCAATTTTTAAGAAATTAACAAGGCTGCAGACAGACGAATTTAATTTAGGCTGCATCTTCCAATGTTATCACAGTGGCTAATGAATGGTGCTTTAGTTGCTGCAGTCTTTTATTCATTCTGTTGCCACGCAAGCCTCTGCGTAGTCATGCGAGCAGTCTTTTTTTTTCTTTCTCGCAGATCATTCAGGAGCTTCTGCCCAAGCCCGACCTTGCCCACTCAATGCAGAAGTTAGAGAAGCTACTGCACCAAATCTACAGAGCCTTCCCTCAGAAGCACTGGGGCAACAGCCGTGATGCTTTCTGCTTCCGCAGAGTACAGATCCCCATCGAGACCTTCAAGGTGAGGGCCGTGCAATCTAGCAAGCAGTCTTATGGGCCGCATTAGAGAATTTTCTGATTTATATTAATGCCTACATTTGGCACTCTCTACGAGTTCACTTCAGTGACATCATGTCCACTTTCTTACTAGCCAAGTGCAGTGACCTCTTGCGAAAATAAAGAGGCTAAATGTGGCACCTCTCGGCTAAGTCTGGCAAACGTAAAAGAAAGTGCTCATTCTGGCATGCTATATCAGTTACAGTATCTGGGAAGAATGCACTGTAGTACTATATACAGTGTTAAATGTGTGTTTGGTGGGATGCTTATACTTGATATCAACCAGACTTGCTTGGGAAATGCACATTGGGGCAGTCTGATTAGTGTTGAGAAATTATGATACTTAATAATCTTAGCATCGCTGAGGCTAACCGTAAACTTCAATGGCAGAATCTCACCGGCTGAAAAAAGAGCCATAGATTAAAATTTTTCCGTAGTGTGTATTATTCTAGTACAGCACAAAAGAGAGAAAAACATATTAAGCCACTAGCATATATCTTTCATAGAAGGGACACAGTTTGAAAGTTTACTAACTTCATTTTAAAGGTGATGCCTTGCAATACGTATTTTTGCACCGAACCACTAGGGACTGGAACGTTCCTTCATTAGATATTGTATGCATGGTGTCAAATGTTTTATTTTACTTCACTTTGTGTTCATATTAAATAGAAATTTGTGTAGCTATTCTTCAGTGTATGAACGAAATGGTGATGCCACTAATTAAAGGAAAGGTAATAGTACAGCCATACTTCATTTTTGACATAAAAAGATTGCCTTTATTATGATATGCAGTGTTATGAAATGCATCAAAATCGAGAAAGCAGCAGCAGTGATTGAGCTAATGAGGAAGAAATTAACCACTGTGTCCAAAAATTGCTATTCAAGATTGCTCTGTCGAAATATGTAATTTGTAGGTACGTGCAAATATTCGAACTTTCGATCATTTTTCTAATAGTGTTGGCAATTTGATTCGCAATGGAATTCAACTATTCGAAGTAGTCGAACTTAGTGAAGACAAATACAGTTAGCATTTGATTGGCAGTGGCCCCTTTAGATTTTTAATAGGCTTCACCCCATGACACTCGCGTTGCGGCTAAGCTGCCTCTCAGGCGATGCACTATGCCATTACAGTAGCACCTTCGTATTTTTTCATGTGCTTCACCACATCACACTCTGGTTTTGCGGCAAAGAGCCCTTATTGGGGCTCCGCTATGGTCGTAGTCAGATCGACTCACGACAGCGCTGGTTCGGACCTACGCGGCAGAGGTTGGGGGGAGGATTTAATTAATGTCATTTCAGACTAGAAATTCTGAAAAATCGCATGAACACTTTCAGCATCCGAAATTTCAGATCTTTTTATATATTGACGACTACCGGGGTAGACCAGCAACTCTGAATTCGAAGGGGGCACGCCCTTGTCCACCGAATCAGTTGGGTCTCGTCTCTACAGAAGCTGAAGAAGGGAGAGGTGGAGGAAGTCGCGTCTTTTTCTTTCACGTGTAAAGTGCTGTGACACCATGTTGGTTGCAATAAATCATCTAAATAATATCACTTCAGCATCTGCATTGCCTCATCCTTGATAAGTTGCCCCGCCCGATAAAGCTGTATCATCCACAACTGTTTCTTTAATAAATAATGCAATAGCGAACATATATATATGTGTGTGTCATTGACACTGCACGCAATTTACTGTGTGCGCACTAATTCTGTTGCTTTGCTATGTTCAGTGCTAACTCGTTTACATGTAATTTTCTGTGCATTCTTGCTCATTGTGTCTATGTATTTGTTATTCATGCCTTTTTATGACTGAAATTTGCTCATTCTGTATTTACAAAAGAGCGTTGCATTGACTCATGTTTTTCAATGTTTGTGAGTTATAGCTCTTCTGCATTTTTTTTTTCCTGGTCCGCTGTATTTGTTATAGGCCCCTATTGATGTTTTCTTGTATTGGAAAATGTTATATATGTGTATGCAACCAACTCCTGCCTACGACTTCTCGTAGAAGTCGGCAGTATTGGATAAGAAAACATCTAGCGAAACGCCGCCCATCCAGCACTTCACCAACCTAGCCAAAACTAACGCTTCTGTTTTATCGAATTAGAATGTGCTAAGGGATCATCTGCAACCTATTTTCTCTAATTTTATTTCAAAGTATACGAGAAATATTACAGAAATATTTGATAACTACTTAAAAAATTATTCTATTCGACTGGCACCGAAAATTTTTCTACTTGCTCAGCTCTAGTCATTTGAGCTTCACGGGGATCCCGTGATATTGATTGATTAAACTGTAAAATTCCTGTAAACCACTTTGACCAACCCAATGTTTGAACAGGCACTAAAAAGAAAACTAAGAACATTTCAAAATTACTACATTTGCTGCGAGGAAATGCGGGTGGCGACATTAACTTGAAATTACTGCACCAAACTCCGTAAAGTCATGTATTTTGACGGTGTCTGGTTTTGACAGTCCTAAATATTTACTGATTAGTAAAAATGAGGTACATTTTCTGGGGCAGGAAGCACAAAACCAACATATCAAGTTTCAGGAAGTTTCATGAAGCAAATGTTGTCAAAATGCGAAAAATATGGTTTGAAATCTGCCATTTCAGTGCAAGATTTAAAAATGAAACTTTGACCTTTATTTTGCAAGAACATAGGCTTGGGCATGTTGGTCATTCATGTTTGACTTTTCAATGCATAAAAGAAGAAAAATCAAAAGCGCTATGTTTGCATCACTTTTTCTCTATTCCTTCGTGTGTGCATTAAGGAGCGAAATTTCATTTTCTCCTGTATGATGGTGAAGTTAATGATTACCAAAAAATTACCGATTTTTTATTTTTACCTGTTTTGATAAGATTAGTACCTCTACTGTTATGAAAAAAATAATACAGGTCGAGACTTAACTGGAAATGCTTTAAAATTTCATCTAAAGAGCACAAGGTGCCTCTTAAAAGGTCGAAAGTGTGCAGTCTTCGAGCACCTTGCCGCCGATAATGCATCGCCACTCGAAATTGTTGATCGCACAAGTCGAAGATTCGAGCTTCACTCTTCAAATACCAAGTTTCTCTCACTGATGCAACGCAAGAAGTAATAAAAAGAAGCACTCTTCTGCGTGTTTTTCGAGCGCCGCGACAGGCTTATCGCATGGTACGTATCAGGGACCGCCGTTGGCCGCTGCGCGCCTGTATGTGCTGTGAAACCTATTTGCGGGGTCTATGCCTTGTCGAGTAGCGCAGCTGAACAATGCTTTTCTCGTGTAATTATCTCCGTTATGAATGAAAAAAAGCATCGTTTGCAAGTGAAAGCCGTTGTGCGGCGCGCTCTGTAGGAATAGGCTACGAGCAGCCGGTCCGACTTGCGGCAGTTGTTGGCTTGCAAAAGCAAATGCGTCAAAAGTCAATCGCATCCGTCAGCCGGAAAGTTCGTGATGCGGCAATGGATGACGTCAGCGCCAATTTTGAGAGTTTGAAAGAGCTCGCAGTGAGAGAACTTAGCAGGGACGACATTACTATCATGTACGACAATATGTGGCAGAAACATGGCTGCAAAATGGCATGACACTGGACTTAGTTTGGATTTCGCAGTCCTGTCGAACTTTTTCCTAGCTTACAATTGGCACAAGGCTCTGCCAGATGGAGCGGAAGTTTTGCAAGCGTTTCATGGCCCTGTCTGTGAGCGAAATGTCTGTGAGGAGTCGGCTCGAAAACGCCGAGAGGGACAAACTCGTGGTGCTGGCGTATTTTAGTCGCAGTGGCCTCTACAAGAAGGATTGTTCTTTTTGGTGTGCAAATTTCATCTGATTTAATAATATCGTTCATAAATAAAAACTCAATTTTAACTTTAAAACTCGTTTTTCTCGAAACACAAATTTTGCCATTTTTTTTCCAATATGCCCCTCCTTTTTCAGGCACTTCTAGTGCTCGGATCTGCCTGAAATTATGCCCAAATTTTTTCCAAAGCATGGGAAATGCAATTATCTAGTTTAAATATCAATATTTTATTGTATAATAAAAAATTGTATGTATACCTTTACTAGGGTAGGTGAAATATAGACTTTTTATGTCTATTATTTTTCACGCATATTACACATTCTGTATGTGCTTCCTAATTTGGTATTTGCACTTTACACTTTATTTGAAGCATTATGAACTATGAATGGTAAAAAAATTACAGAATTTTAGGGATGAAAAGAGGGTGGGGGGGTCAAAGGGGTTAAAGTTTTCACTTTGTCATGTTGCAGAGCTAAAAGTGTGTAACTTGCAAGAAAACTAATTATATATTTGAAATTAGCATAAAGAGTTCCATAAACAGCTCAAGTTTTATTGCTCTAGGGTGAATATTAAAGAAAAAGTGTCTTCGAGTAGCATCTCCCCTTAAATTGAACTGCCTTTGATATGATTGGCTTAGTACTCGTATTCTGCACCTTGTTCATCTTTCAGTAAAGAAAGCTCTTGTTAGATGGAACATATTGTCCTTGTTCATTCAGGTTGCATTTAAAAAATTGGCCCCGCATCTGCATGTTTCACTGAAAATGTCGTCAAAAGACGATAGTTTTGGATTCGGAGAGAGTGATCAAAACGTTTATTTGATGTCCTGCACGAAAAAATCGCTGAATTGTATTCTGGAGGCACTGCATTAGAGAGTCTCGATCCGTGCAGAAAAGGCGAACGAGCGCATCGAGGCAGTTATCTTCGAAAACAAAGGAAGGCGTGTGCGCCCGTCTTGGAGGCGATGAGGTTGTATGTGTTTTCAAGGCCGCTTGGCCCAGAACCCCGCAGAAAAGAGGCAAGCCCAACCAGGAACCTTCTTTATTGACTGGAACCCGGGCTGCAACTGCCCACTGCCAGCCGCTGCCACATGCCAATCCGCGCACACCCGATTATCGTCCGTCGATCAGCGCGATCGCAGTGGCCGCTCTCATACTGCCCCCTCCCCTTCGGCAAAAAAGGAGAGAGGTACCAATGCAGTAGCAGTTAACCCTGGCCACGATGGACCACACGTGGCGCACAAACCCACATGCCGGCACAGTCCTTCCACAACTCGCTGTAAGATCTCATGGTCTGCAAGACGCGGGAACTGCTGATTCGCGCAGCGAAGGCGACCCTGCCCCCGTCCGAAGATGGAGGCACACTGGACTTGCTGAAGTTGACGACTGCAGTAAGGTTGATGACGAGAAGAAGACGCTTCTGGTATAGATACGGTACTGATGAATCAACAGGCCCAAAGAAATCAAAATAAACTCCCTGGCGCTGACGTTGCGATATGGTGCTGTTGTTGTAGCATACCATTCGCTGTGTCTTGTCTTGCCACGGTATCTGCCCGGACCATTCTTTTCAGGGTGGCAGCCACTCCTCCACATGGTAGTCTGCATGCGCTGGCAAGAAAGCTTGGCTGCCTGTGTGCCTTCGGTGGTCACCCTTTGGCTTTCCCTAATATAGTATCTCGGCAGCAGCTCCGATTTGGTCAAAAGGATTGTTTTCAGTAGAGACTGTTCCTTGCAGAGTCTCAGCTCTCTCGAACCTCGCAGCTATGTTATCTGAAGCTTCTACGATGGCTTTCCCGTCAACCACGACCTTTACATCGTCGGCGTCTACACATTTTATTTCTTTGTTTCATTCGACTTGTTGCAGCGTGTCGTCGCCGTTGTCGTAATACTCGACTTCACCATCACTGGCTACTTTCCAGTTTTCAGTGGTCTCTTCCTTTACGCCACCTTCTCCTCCGATGTTCTCCTCGACCTCCTCAACACCCTATTCACCATCACGCTTCCCGACCTCCTCTTTAAAACGCTGACACCCTTCGGCCTCTTCCTCAACGATCTCCTCCTCCACTTCCGTGAGCTCTCCACCGTTTGCGTTCTCCGCACCTACCTTCGTCGGCGCACCCTTCGTTGTCCTCCAGAACCACCTCATAGCTTATCTCTTCAGAGTCCGCAGCGCCGCCCAGGTTCTCTTCAGTGTCTTTCTGGTACTTGTCTGCTGCCTCCCCATCAAGCTGCCCCACGTAATGGTGACTTTTACTGTTCCTCTTTTTTCCTTTTCCTCTTTTTCTTCTTCGCCTTCTGAATCTCCCCATTGGCATCATTGACTACTCCTAAATCTGCAACGTCGCCACGTTACGCAGCGTCTCACACATAGCGTCTGCCGCAATGCAGACATCCTGCTCTCTGGTCCGGCACTCACCAGTGTCATTCTTGCCACCTTGGAGGCCATCGGGTTCGTTCACGAAGAGCTCTGCTATCATCGCTGTGGGCTGCACCGCGTTCACGTTCTCCGAGCGCGCGGTAGCGCATGCGTCGACACCACTTTCATGGCCATCCTGAGATGCCTCCATGGCGCACGAGCCCACCGTGTCATGTGCTCCGCCTGCACTCCACTCAGTGTCTCTCTGTCTCGGCAAGCATGGAGCTCTCCCCCTTAGCCACGCTGTTGAATTGAGTTGACTTTATTTCTTCTGTTTATAACAGAAAGGAAGCAGAAGCTAAAGGCTATGTGGCCTGACAAAAGCTTCTGCTCCTACGACAGTTCGGCATGCAGGCCATACATAGCGCAAGTCAATACAAAGTATACTGTACAGACATATTGCACTGAATAGTCACGCAATTAAAAGAACATGTGTACTAAAAAGTGGAAAAGCGGGAGTAAACGCGTTATGTCTGCAAAGCAACAACAAAAAAATGTTACATAATACAGTGATAGGTCATTTTGCTCAGGTCAACAACTAAAATTCGTAATTAAGACACGGAAATTGAAAATACATACAGCAGCTTTGTCGGACAAACTCGATATTTTGTGAAATGAGCAATGTTTTAAATGATTCACATGACGCTTCCATAACTTCGTCATGAAATTCATGTATTCTATTGAGGTGCTTGGCAACTTTGTAACTGTTTGCCATAATTTGTTACTTTTATTTGTTCGTATTTATTTTTCTTATATTGTTGAAGTGCTTTACATCTGAATAGTGGTTTTTGCTGGGCCTCGGCGAGCCGCCTTGGTCGTAACGGGACTTTTTAACCTTGTTACGGGTAGTGGCACCCTCGTTGGCAGACGATGCGCTGCCGCCGCGTCTCTTGTGCCGCGGTGCCACCCCATCGGACGAGGTCACCACGCCTTCCATGGCTTGCACAGGTAGCGAGATGTCGATGTAAGAACAGAAGTACTAACACGCTGCAGCTCGTCGGGAGGTTGTGGCTCATAGCGCTGGTCCCGAAAGGCGACCTTCTCAACTTTCCGAGCATAGCGCGGGAGCACCTCGAGGGAAGGGAAGGAGTGGCCCTACAGTTGTCACTGAAACTGGGGGTGGCATCACCGCATAACGTGGGAGACCTCAACGGTATCGGGAGCAGTGGGTCCGCCCGAGGGAAAAGCTCCTACATGGCACGAACATAATCGCGCAGACCCTCCTTTGGATGTTGTGTTCGGGTGTCGAGCTCACGCCGGATACGGTAGTCGTAGGCGACCGGCAGGAACTCTTCTCGGAATGCCGCGGCGTACTGGTTCCAGGACTGGAAGGGAGGTTGAAGACGCTGCCATCATTCTGCGGCACTGCACAGGGCAACTGGTAGGACCCGCTGGAGCACATTGGACTCTGAGAAGGCGCTAACAACCGAGTATACGAAAAGGTCGTCAATGAAATCGATGACCGATTCCTTTGCGTCTTAGCCGGAAAAGGTGGGCACAGTCAGCGTCATCAGGACCATGCCTGCTGACTGCCTCGATGTCCGTGGCCCAGGGGCAGGGTTCTTACAGTTGGCCGCCAAAGGTAGTGGATTTCGAGGTCGCTCGACCCGGAAATCTCGCAGGGATAATGTGGAGCCCCACCAGGAACCTTCTTTATTAACAGGAACCTGGCTCGCAACTGCCAGTCACTGCCACGTGCCATTCCGCGCACACCCAATCATCGTCCTCCTCTTCTACCTCCGATCAGCGCGCTCGCGGTGGCCCCTCCGATAAGGTGTAGAATGCAAAGCAATGACGGGCATGTGCCACCACCGTGTCGTCTTAGCAAAGCGTCGGAAACACTTCCCTTTTCGAGCATCGTGTTGCATTGTCAACGCAGCCTGATCAACGCTACGGTCCTGAGAATTACTTATGTATGCCTTGTCTAGTATAAAGACACACATGCAAAATATTGACGTGTTGTTGTGGTGCCTCAGATATGCACGATAATTGCTTTTTAATTGACAATCGCACAAGTATGAACGCTGAAACTTGAGTAGTATTGTTGGGCGCTGCGGATGGGGTTGGCCGTTTGGGGTATCGTTACGGCAGACAAACGTTCAGACAGACAGACCAGTACTTTTGCGTCAAAGTACCCCAAGAAAGACTAAAGTCTTTAAAAATGTGTACTATATTCAGGTTTTTGCTTACATGACTCAAATTCAATATTGTATGATGTAACAGTAACTGTCATGGAATGGGTGTTGCGGTCAACGAAAGATCTTCAGGGCCAGCATGTTCAAAGAGGTTAACGTTGATGCCTGTGCCCCTATTGCAGCACAAGTGTCTGCAGCGTGGCCAGCAGTTGTGCCAGGCTGAGCAGTGGAGCTCCCTGCTGGAATATGCACAGCAGGCATGGAATTTCGTGTGCAAAATGCCAGATTGGCAAGACAACAGTCACAACAAGGCCAAGCTGGTATGCCTACGAACCCTCGCCGCACACTGCTCGACAGCACTGAAGAAAGTGTCCCTGGACCAGCGGCAGCTGCAGACGCTGATTGCCAGGTACTGCGCCTTCCCTTCTTCCTGCATGCAATACCATTATATTGTTGCACTCGGAAACGACTCTAGACCTACTACGGTCGCTTAGGCTCGGCGCGGTGGCTGCATTTTTGATGGAGGCTAACATGTTTGAGGCCCATGTACAGCAGACTCTCAGTAAACAGAAATCTGTTAAACGGAACTATTTCTTCGAATATGCTTGGTTCCGGGCTTGTATTCTGCACTTATGTTGTGAAAAATTGTGAAAAAAATGTGACGATTTTATATTGATTTGACATGAAATGACACAGTAAGGATTGACAGCAACTATATACTAAGCTGCTGGTGAGGATCAGGTAACATCAGATCTGCTGAAAGATGGAGGACAGATTGTGTAAGAAAAACTAGCCACCCTGTTTACAAGGTGCCTCCTGACGGGAAGGGTACCAGAGTCTTGGAAGAACGCTAACATCATCTTAATACATAAGAAAGGAGATGACAAGGACTTGAAGAATTACAGGCCGATCAGCTTGCTCTCTGTAGTATACAAGCTATTTACAAAGGTAATTGCTAACAGAGTAAAGAAAACATTAGAATTCAATCAACCAAAGGAACAAGCAGAATTTCGAACAGGCTACTCAACAATTGACCACATTCATACTATCAATCAGGTAATAGAGAAATGCTCAGAGTATAACAAACCACTATACATAGCCTTCATAGACTACGAGAAGGCGTTTGATTCAGTAGAAATATCAGCCGTCATGCAGACACTGCGGAATCAGGGCGTAGATGAAGTATATATAAACATTCTGGAAGAAATCTACAGGGGATCAACTGCTACCATAGTGCTTCATAAAGAAAGCAACAGAATACCAATCAAGAAGGGTGTAAGGCAGGGGGACACAATCTCCCCAATGCTATTTACCGCGTGCTTACAGGAGGTTTTCAGAAGCCTAGAATGGGAACAGTTAGGGATAAGAGTTAATGGAGAATACCTTAGTAGCCTGCGCTTTGCCGATGACATTGCATTGCTGAGTAACTCAGGGGACGAATTGCAACTCATGATAACGGAGTTAGACAAGGAGAGCAGAAAGGTGGGTCTTAAAATTAATCTGCAGAAAACGAAAGTAATGTACAACAACCTCGGAAAGGAGCAGCCCTTCGAGATAGGTAATAGTGCACTTGTAGTTGTAAAAGATTATGTCTACTTAGGGCAGGTAATCACCGCAGAGCCTAACCACGAGATTGAAGTAAATAGAAGAATAAGAATGGGGTGGAGCACATTCGGCAAGCACTCTCAAATTATGACAGGTAGATTGCCACTATCCCTCAAGAGGAAGGTATATAACAGCTGTATCTTGCCGGTACTTAGCTACGGAGCAGAAACATGGAGACTTACAAAGAGGGTTCAGCTTAAATTGAGGACGACGCAGCGAGCAATGGAAAGAAAAATGGTAGGTGTAATCTTAAGAGACAAGAAGAGAGCAGAGTGGATTAGGGGACAAACGGGGGTTAAGGATATCATAGTTGAAATAAAGAAGAGGAAATGGACATGGGCCGGGCATGTAGCGCGTAGACAGGATAACCGCTGGTCATTAAAGGTAACTAACTGGATTCCCAGAGAAGGGAAGCGGGTTAGGGGGAGACAGAAGGTTAGGTGGGCAGATGAGATTAAGAAGTTTGCGGGTATAAATTGGCAGCAGCAAGCACAGGACCGGGTTAACTGGCGGAACATGGGAGAGGCCTTTGTCCTGCAGTGGACGTAGTCAGGCTGATGATGATGATATACTAAAATTTGGCGCGCCGAGTAAACGGAGTTAAAACCTATAAAAAATAAAGCTGCCTCATTATTCATTGGCGGAATACGACACTGTTATTGAATGCGAGATTTGTGGTACTGCAGCTCAAACTTTTTGATAGTTTTTGTTGAAAGCATACCAGCTAAGTGCTGTTTTCTCAAATTCTACTGCATATTTAGCACTGATATTTCACCGAAATACAAGAGGGTCTGAGGACCATGAGAAAAATATATCAAAAAATTTAAAATTAAACTAAAAACTTACCATTCCCATTGCCCCAGCCTTCATTCACAGCTAGCTTGCCCCATGTTGGCAGATTGTCAAGCTTCCAGAAGACTACATATTGTCCAGCTGACTACAAACTAAACCAACCTGAAAGTGTGCAAGCTAGAAAAGTTGTGCTCGTAAATTCCGGAAATGGAGCATACCTTCAGAGCCATTTTGAGTTACCATGTTAAAGTGAGTTTCAGGTCGAGTCCAAGTAATGTGATTTTGGGTTGTAATGAACACAGTGTCCCATGAGGGTGTTTCTTCAAATCCTGAAGGTTGATACAGTTGCCACTGTATAAACAGTCAAGTTGACTGACACGTGGAGTTAGGATGTTGCACAACCTGCTGGAGAGACTAAAAATGCAATGCAATAAAGTCAGTCTGGGTAAGCTGGTACACGACGCTTACGCATAAACTGGTCATCCAGACTGAAAAGAGAGAAAAACGACACTAGTCGACACCAGACAAAACCAGTCGTGCATGGCAGCGCTACTCTCTTATCTACCGCCATCTTGACTGGCAAAAGAAATGGGAATTCTGCTCTCTGCATTTTCAGAAGTGGTTTTCCGTTTAAAAAGATCATTGCAGCTCTAGCTGTTCTAGGTCAAAAAATGTCACTGCGGCAAGCTAAGCGACCCAAGAACATTTCAGATTCAACTCATTACATCTAAACTGCAGATCAAACATTGATCTTACAAGACTTCAGGTAAACTTTACATGTGAATGGACACCTGCAGATTTCAATAACAAAGGAACTCCTTTTCTATGATTTTTTGGTTTTCACAAGCCATGTCCCGTTTACATAATCTTTTCCGTCAGCAGCAGCCTAATTACGCCTGCTGCGGGGCAAAGGCCTCTGCGGAGGCAGTACTACTACTGAGACAGCTTCAAACTGGATTGCTACAGAGCCCAGCACGGATGCACCGTATGTTTCACGAGACATACCCGAGCAACAAGGGCAAGGTCTGCCGGAGGGAGACGGCAGATCACACGCACATCTTGTGGGACTGCATCAAACACCCAGAGTAAGCAAGATCAAGAACAATCCTTTCGCGGCTCGAGGCGGCCGTGAAAAGCTACGACCAGGAGGAACAGCTCTGGCTCGTCCAGCAGGTCCTCGGGGCACTCGAAAGGCAGGGACCCAGCGAGCTGGCAAGGGCGAGCGGAAACCCGCGCAGAGTTACAGCAACACCAAAACGACGTAGGCCCCCGTCGGGGTGCGCGAGCGCCCAACTGCAGGCACAAATAAAGTTTATTCAATCCAATCCCATGTTTCGCCAAACCCGGTACAGTGCTTTCTGCTGCCATATTATACCTGCAAACCCAGTTTCATCTGCCCGCCTAAATTTCTGTCTCCCTCTCAAGCATTTGCCTTCTCTTGGAATCCAGTCGGTTACCCTTAATGACCAGCGGTTATCTTGCCGCACGATGTACCCAGCTCATGTCACTTCTTCTTCAAATGAAGAAATTTTTTTCGTGTGTTCTGAGAGTTTTTTCCCATAACAGTATTCTGTTACGGTCATGTAGTTATGTTCACACTCTTGACAACAGATGCTTACGCATGAATACCTCTTGCACATGCACAGGTTGAAAGAGATGAAGAATGACAGCCCCTGCATCACATCCCCGCTCAAACTGGCCGAAGCGCAGCTCGAGCAGTGCCTTCAGTGATGGTGGCGACAAGCCGATAAAGAAATGCAGACAACTCTTTTATGCTGGTTTTAACTTTTATTGTCATCAATATCATTGTTTCTCTCTTTTACTTATATACACAATAAAAATCGTGGGCCTTTTTTGGTCACTTTCTGTCTCCCTCTAGTCGTTCACTTTTGAAAGTGTGTGAGCTTGCAGTCATATGCGCGCGAACAAGAACGCGCGCGCCCCCTTCCCCTTTAAATAAAAAAGAACAAAAACAAGAGAAACACCTTTCTCGTCGATTTTTTTTTCCTTCGCATTTTTTCTTTACAAAATCAACCCGTCCCATATGAATTTTTTTTTAGTGCTTGCCAACAAGCAATGCTAGACTAGATTCTCCCATACACGAAAAAATACAGGAGTAAAAAAAAAAAGTTGGAGTGAAATGCATGTAACACTTCAAAAAAAATACTTGCATGAAACAATGGTTGCAGAAGTAGAAGAAAAAATAATACACTGAAAAAAAAAGTCACCGCTTTTTTGACGGAGAAAAAGCTGCTTGGTTGTCGGATTGCGCACACTGCATAGACACAGAAAATAGAACAAAAAAACAACTAAGGACTGCTACACTGCTTTCTACACTTATTCAAACACTAATAAACTTTTCTTTGTTGACGAACAACTTCATGTGGTTCGCTTTTTTTCCAAAGAGACACACACACACAAGCGCTTGCAAGCTTTTCCATGCTGCCTTGCCATTGGAAACAAGCGAAGAAACTGAACATTCTCCGAGAGAGTACGACAAGCAGCGGAGAGAAACTAAGAAAAAAAAGCAACTGCAAGGTTATGGTGATAACATGTGCCATAGTGTGTATCCACAATATGTACGCGTGTGAAGGGGGACAACATTTCAGTATCGCGGGAAAGGCCGTGATTCCAAGGAGCTCGTGGTTATACAGCGAAAAAAGTTTTCCCTTGCCCACCGCTATAGCAGTGGGAGGACGTGACGTGGCAGTGTAGCATCAGAAACTGATGCCGATTTTTTTTTTTATTTATTTAGAAAGAAAAAATGAGGAAGAGGCAATGTGATGTTTTTATTCCTTCCCCAGGGAACCACAGCTTTCTCTACACATGAAAAAAAATAATAAATCTTTACACATGAACACGGCAGCGAAATGAATGACAATATTATGAAAGCAAATCCGAAGAGACAACTATTGAGACATTTTTTTTTAACAAATGTATCGTCCTTTTTGTTTATGGGCTGTGTTCCGGTTCGAAGTCTTAACTACAGCACACATTCAAGTCAGCGTTTCTCTTTCCCTCCTATCGAGTTCAATGAGCAGCCCCACCAGTTCACGCAGACTGCAGAGATAGCAAGACATTTAATATGTTTCTGTTCGTAGCATGCAATCCATGTCCCTATAAAATGGCCGCTACATTCTCATTACGTCAGTGGGCTGAGTAGCAATAGAGCCAAATAAAAACAAGCATGAATTGAACCCAGCCGACACAAGTGAAATGCATGTAATGCCTAAATGAGTGCAACAGCTTTTCTGTCTTTTCATGGTAAGAAAGAGCACAAATTCAGAGTTACGAAGACGGCAACTCTGAATTAGTGCTCAATGCACAACTTTCAAAGAGTTCAGAGAGCCAGACATTCATACTGCAAAGCTTAAAGCTTTCACAGAAACCTTCAGAGCTCATTTCGTATAAAAGTGGGCTCGGTAGCGATTAGCAATGCAACTTATTCAATGTATTCAATTTTTGCTGAGAAACAAAATTGTGAGTAATAAAAGTTACCTTGCATGTTGTCACGCAATCATGAGATCTTCCTTTGCATACTTTTTTTTAACCAATGACAATTTTGTTTTCCTGCATCGGTGTTTATAGTCTTTGAGGCGCATATCAGTCAGGAGTATGGATGTGGCACTATTTGATTTCAGCAAAGCCCACATGAAAGTCCTGGAGCAGCTGTGCAGTGGTGTTGGTGAAAATGTGCAGTCTTCACAGGTGGCAGAATTGTCACCAAGAACAGCCAGCGAATGGCAGCAAAAAGCTGGTGAATAACTGCCCAGAAGTTGCCAAAACAGGATTTTGATACTGTCTAGTCAAGGCTAGTGTCCCTTTTTTTCTCAGTAAATATTGCTTACATAGCACCAGCAAAGCATAAGCTAAAAAGTTTCGTAAACGTTTGCTAGGCCAGGGTAGTCCAAATATGAAAAAAAATACATAGAAGTACATAACATTACACTCGTACATGGTCTCGCAATTTTTTCAATGCTAGACATACATTAACCCTTCTCATTACCTACCTATTACCACGAGGTTGAGAGAAATAGCTTCTAAGGAGTATTTCATTACTTAACTGTCATATAATTGCTTCTCAGCAGATCTTCGAGACCAGTTCCGTTACCCTGTATAAAAGGATAACGTAGCTTTACGTCCATGTGCTGCGATTCCGGAAATAGATACACCTCAGTCTTTAAGGTACATTGTGGACAGCTACAACTTCTGGCCATGTCTCGGGCAGCTACGTTCAACGTTCAGTGGTGCAGTCCAGTGAACAGCCTACACAGCTTACCAGCAGCCTACGGAGAATCGGAACACAGCCCAAAACAATGTCCCTTTACTCCAAGTACTACTTGAGAAAGGAGAAAAACAAGCAGTCAATTCTTCTGCACACACTCTTCGCCAACCGACAATCCCCCGGGTGGCATCTGCAATGCATCTTGTCTTGTGTCGGTATGCAGTAATATGTATATTTATATATATATTCATATATATATCAATGGCACTATTTACACTGCATGAAATCATCAGGTAGGACAGAGAAGTCAGTCGGCAATCGATCGAGCATGTGTGAAAGAGAAGGATTGAAAATCGGAGGTTGCACCGCTACTGGCCTCTTGAAGATGCAAAACAACAAAAGGCGCGAGTGTGCAGATTCCGTGTACACAGTTATGGGGGCCGACACATCTGTTGCAGCCAGGGAACACACCCCCATGTTCCTCTTCGTTGCACAAAACTGTTGCATTACTTCGAGGAAAAAAAAAAAAGAATGACAGCGGCCCCTCGAAGTGCCACCTGGGTCATCTCGTACAGACACTGCCAAATTGGCTTATCAGACGAGCAGCAAGTGTGTGGTTTCCACAGAAACATCTCAGTACCAATGACTCATACAGCTAGCTGCTCTATTCTCAATTCTTACCAATGGCCTTGCCTATCGAAAGCCTTACTAATCGGATTTCAACCCTGCCTATTGTTGAACACTGCACAGGCCAACGGTTATTTTTGCATGTTATGTTGGTTATGCTCGCTTTCTGCTGGTTAAAGAGTCTCATCAAGTTTTCAAACTTCAGGTTTGAGTTACCTTTAGACCAAGCCTTACAATTTCTGGTGCATGAATACAATTTGCAATGAGACGTGGTGAGGTGGCCTTCAACATTGAAGTGCAGTTATAGCACAGCGTTTTTTTTGTTGTTGTTTTTCTCGTGCTCCTCTTCGTTCTAGTGCTAACCAACTCCTCGCTAGTGGCAGTGAAGAATCTACAGGAAACAGCACACTTGTGCTCATGATACTTCTAGCATCTCGGATCTGTACTTGCTGTGAAAGGCAATTTTCCAAGCACACAACCTCCACACGCCAAGCGTACAGTTCCCAAACCTACAAGCAAACCTCTCGGGAAAATAGCGAGTGATAAAACATGAATTCACTCAAAGTTTTCTCACTAGAAGATCCCCCTAAGTTCCCTAAAGAAACAACAATCATTAAATGGTAAGGCCAGTATCTTTTTCTGACGTAATTTGACCCAGATTGCTCATCGCAGCTGTCCATGAATTTCGAATATACTCGCAAGCAATTTTATCCGCAAAATTTTTTTTTTCCAACACCGCAGTTGTGAGGGCACAGTCAAAGTAGAAAAAAAAAAGTACCGAGCAAGCCTCACACTGATGGAGCGATTTTTAAAAATTTCTCTCTAGCTTTTCGTAAGTAGTAAAGAACAAGCACAGTGCTGCCAGCAAAAGAGAGACCGGCTAGGGTAGGAGAAAAAACAACAGGCAGAAAAAAAGCAAAATAAATATCCCAGCATTTTTTTTCCAACATTTCCTGCTCTGCCACCTGCTTCCATGCACTACTCAATTTTTTTTTTAATCTTATTTCGGCAACCAATTTCATGGGGAGAGGGGGAAGGGTAGCGCACAGCATATTTATATATTTATATAATGTATGTATAATATTTATAGCTATGTACAGTAAGATACAGCATGTCTTGACCATGGCGCGCCTTCTCAAGTGATGCGCAGGCGATGTACAGGTAGTATAAATTATTTTTTTTTTCTCTCCAGTCTCCGCAAGAGCAGCCAGTTGGGGCCCCTCCTCCTCTAACTCTCGCCACAACACTCTTGGATTTTTTTTCCTCTCTCCCTCGAGGTGTCCGGCGGTGAGAAGAGGGCATTGGGGCACACTTCTGTCTATGTACAGGTGACAATGCACAAACAACACCCTTTTCCCTTTCCAGCTAGCTATGTACACTGCCACACACCCCACCAACCCCACGATCTCCTACAAAGGGGGCTAACAATTCTAGTGCTCCCACACTGCGAACATCCTACAGCCCAAGCCGGTCGAAGGACATTCAACGAGAGGAATGCCTACTGAACGGTGTGTGGCACAACAACCATGTCCACCATATCCCTGGATGTTGCATTGTGAGGAACTGTTGCAGAGTTCTTCGGTGAAAAGGTGCCCTTTCTACAAGTGCCGCTATTAAGAGAGAGCTGGCTGGTGAACCTGCCTAATTCCTTGCAATTGCAAGACACCATGAAAACCACTTGGCAAAGAATAATTTGAAACCATACCATAATCCATGTGACCTCGTCAGATTTAGGGAAATGAAGGAAGTGCCCAAAATTTGTATTTTTAGGAGTCGGTTAAATCAGGAACAAAAGCGAATTAGGAACCATCTTATCTCTAGTGGTAAAATGGAGCTGAATTTCTAATTTACCCATAGTTTTGGGCCCTGCATTCGCTTAAATTAGCTTCTTTCATGAGACACACCTATACCATAACGCTTAAAAATTTTCTCCTCATATTAAGTGGAAAAAAAATGCCACGTGTCAAAGGTAAAAACTGCACATGAGCACTAACGGTGCCGTCAGTTTAGCACGCACCAGGAAGCATTGTGAGGCTGCTAGTGTATAATGCTAAAGCCTACTAGGGTGACCTCGGTACGAATTTTCGAGAACACCCTCACAGCTTGTGGACATGCAAGGAATTTTCAGGTCAAGTCCGCAAAAAGGGACCCACCACAGGTGCTCCAGAGGCAAAATTATTAGTCGTTGCTTGTTTGCTAGGCACGTAATCTTCTTTCGCTGCCACATCGCACGAAATGAGCTTGGCGTCCTTTGTACCACCACCACGGCGAATGCTGCTGCCGAGCGGCTGTGCCAAAATCTGCAAGACAGCTACGACCAGGAGCCCACTTGCCACCTAATTTGCTGCTTTTTGAAAGACAGCCTCAAGATTGCATGTGTAGCATTCAAAGGTGTTGCAACTCTTTACGAAGCACAAAACAAACCATTGCCATTAAACAAAAGAAAAGTGCATTGTACACTAGATGGTCTCTTCCAGTGTCTTTCTTCTTAATCGCATACCATTATGAAAAATGACTTCTTATCGAATTTAAAACATGCTCTAGCACAAGGCCCAAGTCGCGTGCAGCATTGCTATTCGTTGTGTCAGTGCAAAGGCAGCCACATGTCCGCTACAGCCCGAAATCCAACCAAGGCTTCGAAAGAAGACTGCATGCTCCACCTGCCACAGCATCATCACCCCGCTTTCAACAATGCCCAAATCGTCCGGCGTTATTAGAAGCAGCAGCCCCCCTCCTGGCGGTAGTAGCGATGGTCGGGGAGTGTGGCCTCTTCTCTCCTCTCTCCTAGGCGAGGGACGCATCAATGAGAGACAACGGGTGCTGAGTCGTGGCAGAGGCCCATGTGCGAGTCCTCGTCTTCAGGCACCCTCCCGTACGGGGCCCCGTAGCCATGGTGATAGCCCAAAGTGTCCATGGGGCTGAGGCGCTGCTGCTGCACTGGCTGTGGCTGCAATTGTGGCTCGGCCGCCAGCCGAACCATACCGCGACTGCATCGAGCCTCTGAAGATGACGAGCCGACTGCCGCTGCTGCTGCGACTGCTGCTACGGCCTTGGAAGGGACCATCACGCAGTGAAGCGATGGGTGCTGCAGCAATGATGTGGGGTCCGAACGGGTTCGACTGCCCGACGAAGAGGCTGCTGCAGGAAAGGCGCACCCAAACGACATGCTGTTAGTAATTCGATGAGGTAGGTACGATGCAATGAACAATGCTCCAATGTAGCACAAAGCCAACACAGTGATCCAATTGAACATTGTTTTGCTTGGATGGGTAATGTAAGCGGAACTACCAGGAACAGACAGCCATGTTACACAATTTCTAACACAACTAAAGCACCGATGCTTACCAACCAAACTAATAGCATCATTTTCGAGAAAAAATATAACACATAGCTGCATCCACAATGCAGCTCACATCTTTTCTCAAATCAATAATTACTATATGCGTCATTAGGCATACTGGCGGACTGCATCATTCTCTCCCAATATAAAGTGAATTATCAGGTTTTTGCAGTAAAATAAACATCAGATGAAAGCATGCCATTTTGGGAGGTACTAGGATGAGGTGGAGTTATTGACAAATGTGAACTGCTGTCGATATAAAAAATTCCGAAGCCAAGATAATGTTGATTAGTTGAGTCTAAGTGCCTATAGTTAAGCTATTAGACCACAGTGGGCACATCTGTCGGATGCTTTCGCAAAGTCGAGACAAAGATGCAATCAATGATTTTACTATTATTCATACCATTACGTAAACCCAACGTAAATTCCAATAGTTGGATATCCCGCAATAATGCTTTCCGAAAACCATGTTGATTTACAAAAAAAAAAAAAAGACTCAAGATGTCTGTATATGGGAAGCGACGATGTGTTCAAGCAGCTTGCAAGGGATGCATGTTAGTGAGATGGGCGATAGTTAAAACGGGGAAGTGTTTGTTCCCGTCTTCATAAACAGGTCTTTCATTTGCTCAAAAAATAGGTGTCTCCATAAACAGGCCTTTTCAATTACTCAAGAGATCTGTCTGCCGTAAAAAGCAAGAATGCAAGAGAAAAAAATGCCTCAAGTGGATTACTACTCCTGTTCCTTTCTCTCTCTCTCTTTTTCGTGTGTGTGCTTTTACCCCACCAACGCTAATGCCTCTGGCCCCGGAGGGTACAATGAAATAAAAATGAAATGGGAATTTCATTACACTCACAGGAGCTGCCGCCCGAGGATGCTGATGAGGAGGATGCGGAAGAGGTTCCATTGTTGAGAGACACTGGCTGTGTTGGCATCAGCATGAGACAGGATGCAGCGGCCGACGAGCTCCCTTCGATTGCGGCTGGTGATGTTGATGTATTGGTGCCTTCATCCGCGGTGCGCCGAAAAAATGAGTGCTGCAGTGCATGATGTGGCGTGATGCGTCCCTGAAAAAAAAAAAAACAATGCATACATGCAACAACTTAGTAAGTAGCCAATTACAGTGTGCTAGCACTGAATCATAATCATCATCATCATCAGCAGCAGCAGCCTGACTTCAGTGTTTCACAAATTCAACCAGTCTTGCACTTGCTGTGGCTAGGTTATCTCTGCAAACTCCATAATTTTATCTGCCCCTTTCACTTTTTGCTTCCCCTCCGCATGCTTGCCTTCTCTTGCAATCACACTGAATGATAGGCGGTTATCTTTCTTTCTCGCCATATGCCCTGTCCATTTCTTCTTCATTTCGACTAAGATGTCTTTAAAACCCTTTTGTTCAGAGACCCACTGTTGCTCTCTTCTTGTGCCTCCACGTTACGCTGGTGATAGTTGTATCCATCACTTTGCTACGTCAATTTTTTTGTAAGCCTCTAGCTTTTGTTTATTTAGCTATGTACTAGTAAGATATGGCCATTATATACTTTTCTCTTGGTGCACAGTGGTGAATTAACATTTATGACTTGAGAATGCTTGCTGAATGCGTTCCACTTAACTCTTATTCTTCTAGTTGCTTCAGCCTCATGTTTTAGTCCTGCCGTTATTGCCTGTCCTAAATAGACACATTTCTTCACCACTCCCAGCAGTCCCTCGCTGCCTATCATAAAGTGTCTTTCTCTTCCAAGCCTGCTGAAATATACTTGTTTCCTGCATATTGATTTTTGGACATACCCACTGCTTTCCCTTCCAATTCAGTAATCATAATTAGAAATTCTTCCCCTGTGTTACTTGGCAATGAGGCAGCATCAATCAGTGAAATGCAGGTTACTATGGTATTCTCTATGAACTTTTATCCCTAACTATTCCCCACCTAAGACTCAACAAAACTACCGTAAGCATGCAGCAAATATCATCGCATTGACTGTATCTCCCTTCCTCGCACCTTCCTTTAACGGAATTTGGGTGCTTTCTTCAAAGGGACACTAAAGAGAAACAATGACTTGGTTTATATTTAAAAACTGCACTCTGACAACTCTAATTCCACAGTTTTTCACTATCACGAGTTCATTATTCGCAGAGAAAATCAAGGCAAAGTTTCATTTTTACATTTCGTGCAAACATCTCTGTGCATGACATAACAAATTTCGAAATGTATTTTTTGCATTTTCCCGACGTTGGCTCGAAATTTTCCAGAACTTCATATGCTAGGTCTATGGCACCCACAGATGACGATATTTCATTTTTATCACGTAGAAGGCATGTAGGACCCCCAGAACAGGCCTTCAAAATTTATTATGTCAAGGCGGTGTCTTGACCAGAATATTCACGTTTCCTTGCTTACCGAGCGTCATGTCTCAATAAGAGTGATGTTTTTGGGATTGTGAGATTGTACTTTACTAATACACAAAAAAAAAACGTTTTGCTCCTTAGTGTCTCTTCAAGGAATGCTATGGTGATTGTGGAGTTACTGTTGATTTGTTCCAGTACTATTGTTACATATGGCACTTTTACGCCCCGATTCCTTCATGCCTTCATGACTGCAGAGATGTTCACCAACTTTCACATATTATGAAGGCTATACAAGGGCTAGTCATACTCGGCAAATTCCTCTATAACCTCATTTATAGTGTGAATATGTACAGTGTTGAGTCGACTGAACGAAATCGAACTTGGCCCTTTGGTTGAAGAAGGCTGTAATTGTATAGATTTGTAACTTGTGCACAAACAGAAAAGCTGATCCAACTGATTTTTTTAAGTACTGTTGTCCCCTTTCTTACGGATTAACATGATGCTAGCATTCTTCCGAGATTCTGGTACACTCACATTTCATAAACAGAGTGGCCAGTTTTTCTAGCACAATCTGTCCACCCTCTTTAGAGCAGATCTGATGTTACTTTATCCTCGCGAGTGGTCTTTGTCTCTTCGCATTTCCTCAAGGACTTTGTCTAGATCCCCTGTCATTACTGCCCAATTCATCTGGGCTCACTCACAAATGATTGGCATACTCTACCTATTATACAAATAGGTTTAGAAGATACATTCTTGCTGTCATAGAGTTCCGATTTTAGATTATTGTGATATGCTAATTCACTACATGACTCTCTCCCTTTAGAAAAAATATTGCTACCGAAACGGTGCATGAAAAATATTATAGAAAAGTACTAATGCTAGAACAACAATAGCATACATGAAATCGACACAGAAACATACATAAACTTGGCGTGTTTTATCACGGTTGGTCAGTAGTTATAGAAAAGTTTTTTTTCATAACTTTGGAAAAGAATGCAAGCAGAGGTTAAGAGAGCAATGCTCAAGACAAAATTAAGGCAGCTTCGCACTAGGGGTTCCAAGCCTGAAAGTGCTAAGTTGGGCATCCGCATTCGTTTCTCTTTCCTTTCACCTCTCAGTTTCTTTTTTCAATTTTGCAGCTGTTCTTTTTTTCTGTCGTTTTTCTCTTCATTTTTTATTATTTTATTATTCCTCTCCCATTATGTGTTTTTTTTTCCTCTTTCTACTTCCTCCTTTTGTTTTGCCATTTTCATATGTGTTTTTGCTTGTGCTGCACCAAGCGATTGCAGCACAAGACGGCCCAAGTTTCTAATGTGCTTCACACTTGTCATCATCAAGACGCTCAAGGAGCAACCGGAAGGAGACATCTCCCTGGTCCAAGCACGTGCTAAATATGCTACAGATGCCTATGTTATTCGTCGTTTTGTCTGCGTCACACCAAGCAACAATAGCGTACAACAGCATACAACAACCCAGGTCTCTGAAGTGCTCCGCACTTAAAACAAAGAAAAATTGACGCACAGTTCTATGTTTTTCACACTTTGCCCTTATGCCACAAATTACGCGATCATCCAAGTGCTCTTCAGCTTACCTTAGGGTCGTAGTCAAGCATGCGAAGCACCAGGTCGCGGAACTTGAGGTAGTCGGCAACGGAGTGTCCCGGCTCAGCCAAACGCCGGCCACCAGGTCCTCCAGTCTCCACACCAAGCACCTCGTGCAGTCGCCGCGTACCCGGAGGACGGTACTGTTTGGGAGAGAATGTTTGCCCATGAAAGAGACATGAGGTAAGAATACAACTCCTTTCGATAATCTATAGTAGCCATCCTGAATTCCTGTTAATTAACACAAAGCTTTTTTTGCTTAATTTGCTCAGCTGTAAGGGTAAAAATGGCACAACAAACATATACTTACATTGATTTAAACCTCCCATAAAACATTTGTCAAAGAAGGCTATTGAGGTTATGATAAAAAAAAAAAAAAGTACAAGGTACTCAGAGATACTCTGCAACAACTCTAGCAAAAATTCTCTTAGTGTCACCAACAGCGGCATAAATCGTCATCCCAACTGAGGCTTCCATGCATTCACTGCGGTAAAGACTTCTTAGATGCGCTAAGTGAAACTGGTGGTCTCAAATAAGCGTTTGTGAATAGATCCAAGTGTATTTTGTGTCCTCTTCCTTATATGTGCCGTGCTGATACACACTGGCACAGCAGACAACCAACTAGCCCGAGCAGCAAGCCTCCTTGAATAGGTGTCGCAGTACTCCTAAATTTATGATGCGACAATGATAATAACAATATCTGGGCTTTTGTGTTACAAAACCACAACATGACTGAAGAGGCACTGTAGTGGAAAGCTCCAGAAATTTTGACCATATGGCGTTCTGAAATGTGCACGGATATCAATCATACAGTACATGGGCTTCCACCATTTCGATTCGATCGAAATGCGACCGCTGCAGCCAGGATCCGACCCATGACTTTTGCGTCAGCAGCCGAGCACCTTAACCACTGCTCAACCGAGGCGGACTACAACGTGACGTCATTAGCATACCGGCACTGAAGTCCCCAACGAAAAATTCAAAATTCCCGATTCGGTTTTTCTTGCAATACTCGACCTGCTAACCGAAAATTAGCAAAAATAGCATTAAATTAGTACTTTATCAGCCTGAACTGATTTAGAATTTCTCCAGTAGAGTTCTTTCAATGCAATGACAGCTTGCAACACAACATAAAAACAGCTGCACATTATAAAGAAAAGAAAAAAACAAATGCAGCTGTTAAATGGAAAAAAAATGGCTCATAGCGCACCTTCTTGCCGTCCTTAGTCTTTCTGAGCACGTAGCTGCCGTCCGGTAGCTTCTCAAAGTACTTGCGCGCCTTGTGGGCCTTGTCCAGTAGAGACTTCGGGGGAATCCCAAGGACTTCCACTATTTTGTTCATCTGGTCCACCTGCGCCAACCGTTGCAGCAAAAGGAGCACCAAGTTGCAGGTATTTAGTGAAACAGGACAAAGCAGTAACCTACTCCAACAGAGGCGACCCCCTTTTCAACACTAATGAAGTAAAGCACAATCTTATTACAAGAAAACTGTGCGAAGCCCAAGTATACTGGCAGATGCGCAACATTACGTTAAAATATTGTGAGTGGGGCCGTAAGTGACACCACATTATACAACACAATGTAGTTCATTCTACATGCACAGATCGCATGCATAAACAAAAGGAGAAAACTTGGATTGATAATAGAACAGTGCAAAGAAAATAGCACAACCTAAAAAGACAGCAACTGTTATGATTGACAAATTTACCTCTCCATGCTTTGTTTACTTTTTCACAACACTGTGGTTCAGCAGCAGTTCAGATCACTGTCACATTTGCACAGATAGGTGACTGGTGTCACATTTGCACAGATACACACTGCCTTAATTTTTGTGCTCATTATGGTCTGCTCTCTGCCTGCATCATATCAGACCTACATGTTCCACTAAGATCTTTTTGTGAGAGACAAGGAGGTTGTACTGGCTACAATTGCGATTCACCGACATAGATCGACTACAGCACGCATGTCACTCTCGCTGTTCAGCACTGCACATACACATGCTGCCCTGAAACCCGCGTGCACAAGTCAGAAAATGAAGAAAAAAAATTCAGCCAGTTCCACAGCGTGAAATCTTTGACAGCAAACTTGTAAGTGCGTGTTCATTACAATTTATTCAAGTCTTCAATTAATGTAATGAACAAAAGTGCAAATTGCTTGATGGTATTTTCTACTATGAGTGACGACCTAATTCCCAGCATCACTATTACTGCTTTATTTATTTGAAGAGAAGCATCATCATCATCGTCATTTTTTTTTCACTCCCCCTTCGATAACGTGACCAACACGATCACTACTGCTGCAGCCACTGTTACCACGAGGACACCGGGTAGCCTAAAACAGTTTTGCTGTAAAAATGAAAAGCAAGGCTAACAATAGTGCGGAGATCATAGCACTGACCTCGTTGGCCCCACTGAAGAGCGGCTCGCCCGTGTGCATTTCTACCAGGATGCAGCCTAGACTCCACATGTCGATGGCCATGTCGTAAGGTATGCCGAGGAGGACCTCGGGCGACCGGTAAAAGCGGCTCTGAATGTACTGGTAGATGCGCTGCCCCAGCTGGCAGGAACTGCCAAAATCCACTATCTTGATGGCACTCCGTTTGGGATTGCACAACAAAATGTTCTCTGGCTTGAGGTCACAGTGGATGATGCTCAGTTCCGGACTGGAGAGAAACACCAGTGCCGTGCACATCTGCTGGGCAAACTTGCGCGTCAGATTCAGTGACACCCCGCTGAAGTTGGTGTTTCGAAGCAGGTCGTACAGGTTGTACGAGAGAAGCTCAAACACCAGGCAGAGATGGTTGCGCCACATGAAGTGGCCCTTTAACTTGACTGCAAGTAGTTCGCCAATGAAAGTACCGCACCAGGAATGCAGGCCAGGAGGGGAAGGAAATGGGAGGAGAAACAGACATACACACGAATACGTTTAATCTCCCATTAACATGTGGCAAGGCAACTTCATTATGTAAAATAAAAGACGGAGCAATTTGGTACGTGCTATATCCAATGGCTTCCGTGAATGCGTCCCATTCTTTCATGCTACTTTTTGTTGCACTTCAGTTTAGAAATGCCTGCCTGCACAATAGCACACTGGCACAATCAGTTTCTAGAGTTAAATGTTATTTCCTATTATTATTTTTTTGTGTGTTTCCATATCATAAAACAATAAGAGTGCGTCAGGCAGCATTCACTCTTGCACTAAAGGCAGGGGCTGCGGCACATGTAATTATACAGCCTTCCATACACGATTACTGGGTTTGCTCTAAGCAAGCACGCAATCGAAATTTTGTTGCACATCCTCGTGAACACATGAAGAACCTTTTGTTAGCCCCGCCTGAGACATGAAAAGCTGTCCTACTTGAAAGCTGTAGAAAAGCCAGAACAAAGAGTAAAAGTAACCAATGTGCCCTTCAACAACACACAGTCAAGTGCAATGGCCCAACTCTGGTCATACATATTAACATATAAAGAGCTGTGTCTTTCAGCACAAAAAGAAAAGTATCTAAAGTGAGGAGAAATTTGCGATATTTTGCACTGTAATAGTGCAAAATATTGTTGTTTCTATGAATTAGTGCATCGTGCAGTGCACATTCAAAATTTATTATGCTGTGATATATTCAGTGAATGTTTTTAATACTATACAATCTGAATCAGTTTAGCTTCGATTCAGTATTCAAGTGTCTTGTTGGAATAAGTACCAGTTCACCCAGAATGTTTCTTGGAAACAGTTTATAAAAAGAAAATCACAGGGGGGTGGGGTAAGCTGCTAAATATTCAGGATGCACATTAGATTTTGTGGGAGGACAGTGACCATGATGACTGTAAAAACAGTGGAACTACAACTGAAGTTATATAAACCAAACTACCATATACAAATGTAAAAACGCCAGCAGAGTTTGATTGCACCTTGGAAAGCGAGGAGAAGGAGCCCATTCACATTTCCTGATCTTGGACCGCATTAAAGATACATTCAACACTGTCCAGTATACGAAACAAGATTACTCACAAAAAAAGTTCAGAGTGTCAAAATTGACAGGTAAGAGTGACACACACCTATTTTGTCCTTGCCCAGCTGACAGCAGGTGCCATTGCTCTCATGGTTATTCATCATCTCTAGCAATTTAACCTCTATTTGAGCTTGGTTTAGGAACGGCTTCTTGTTCTTGATGATCTTGATGGCCACATAAACATTTTCATCTCGGTCAAATGCTTTCACCACCTGCAAGACAATCATTAGAAAGTAAAACATAGTTCTAACATAGGCTACTTAGGCATTTTAAAAATATACTTTTTAGCTCACAGAACATTTCAGAAAGAAGTCAGCTTTGACAGAGTGCACTGTCCTATCCGACTTCCTTCTGGAAAGGTTCCGCGCACTAAGTAGGTATATTTCTTTTGAAGTGCAATACCAATCAGCCCAAGTAGCCATTCTTTTGCAATTAGGGCATTTAACCTACCACAGCCTTTTTCACGCACTTGTGTGTGTGTGTGAGCGCGTATGTGCACACACACGCACACATACATAGATGCACATGCACACAATAGTATTTAATTGTTAAAGAGACTAAACAATGAATGGCTTCCACAACTGAGCAATTAAATATTAGTTCGTTCCTCAACCATTTCGATTAGTGGCCTGGCCTTCCTCAGGAGCTGTAAACAAAACGGGGCAAAGACTTGAGCTGGGTTCTCACCTGACCGAAGGAGCCCTTGCCGATGAGCGAATCAATCTCGTAACGGTCCAAGAATCGCTCCCCATTGCGGATGATGTAGTCGTGGTTATCATCATCGAAGCCCTCATTGTACAGCTTTCGCTCTTTCTTGTGGCTCTGGTCATCTCCCTGGGGTTGCTGCGCTCGCCGCTTCTTCTTGGCATAGTAGACCTGTGGGCACGGGTTGCAACGAGACAATACGAAGCGTGCTTTAGAAGATGAGACTAACTTAACAAGTCTCCACAAACATAGCAGGTTGTCAAACGTGTTTTCAAGTTGCGACAGTCATTTACAAAAACATCACTGAACACTTCACAGCCATGTGGGCAGACCATACCCACAGGCTGAGCCTGGCGTACCACCATAAAAATGTGCCATGGTTGCCTGTGTTTAACAGGCAAATGAAAGCAATTTGTAGGAAACATGTGAAGATACAGAAACGTCAAGATTTTAGAGATCTGCTCCAACACGGTTAGCAATACAACAAACAAGAAAATAATTTTTATGTCAGATGGAGCAAGAAATGGATAAAAAATTAAACAGGTTTCGAAGCGTTCTCAGATAATAAGCAACTTTTCTCGCAATACTGAACTGCATTCACGTCCTAGCACTTGCAAAATATTGACATCACTGAGCAGCACATTGTGATGCATTCTCAAAAAAAAAAAACACTATTGCGGCACATTAGGAATAATTAAACAGTTTCTTTGCAAAAGACCTTCATGGAGTGTAAATTACTGCAATACCTAACCCATGAGTTTGCACTACTACAGAAGTTCCTGTTTTATGTCTATGTTATTGCTGTGGGAATGAAACTTGTTTCGGTTTTTTTTGCCTGAATGTACACAACTTACGCAAAGGTCTAACGAAAAGATGTCAGGAATGGGTTTGTATCTATGCTGCTTGTTCAAAAAGTTGAAAGATACTAGAGCTTCACCTTCAAGAGTTAATGTGATCATGTGACCGAGCACTGTGCAGATCGCTTTCCACCATTCCGCAAAACAAAAGAAAAGTATGTGTTTCAAATTGCTGGCCGTTTTAAATTTTTACACCTTTAGGATGTAAAGTTGTAAAGTGCCCACCATGCCCTAATTCTTCCATTTGCAATTTGACAAAGTACCCACTATACATCCGTAAGGTGCCACGCACATCAGCACACTTTGAAACCAACTACTCGTTCAATTCACATGTTCTGAGAACTGGAGCGGTTCTGCGATTCTGCCACAGAATATTACGTACGTTAAAAAAACATATTCCACTACATAACATTCTTGCACCGTTTTTTTTTACGACACACTTTCAAGCACAGGCACGACGTCGTGGTGAACTGGGTTATTCTCACCTGGACCAAGCATTTCAATTATTTATTTGCATCTATTTCAATTTTTCACCCACAACCAACAACGGCAACACCGCAATCTCTGCAAAATGACGTCTTTATAACTATCGTGTTAGAAGATGAATCAAATAAGAGTGCCCCTTCGTGGGTAAGTTAAAATTACACAGTGGTAAGTTGTGAGGGCAGTGGTAAAGTTAAGCACATGTTTGTTGCTGCCACTGTCTTCAAAAGCACAACCCTTCCACTATGCGGATTGAATGGGACATTCTCTTTGTTACTGATAACTTTTAAAACCATAATAAGAAGAGGTTTTGAAACGTGATAAGTCCAGAGAACCACCTCGTTGATGTGCTTGTAGGTCTTGATGAGGTCGACGCTCAGCTTCCGCAAGGGTGCCTGGCTAGAGTCCCTGAACTTGTAGGACATGTGTTGCGCGTCTGTGGCCATGGCTGCCAGCAGGTCCTGTGTCACGAGCCTGCCATACGTGGCATTGCCACCTTTCGCGCCAGCGCCGGCACCAGCCACCACGCCCCCTTGCTGCTGCTGTTGCTCGCCTGCAAAGGTACCGCAAGGGATTCCTTGTTATAGACGAGAATATGTAACTCTCGCACCCCCACTTTGAGCAGGCACTATTGACGTCAAATCCAGTCACGGCTGTCATTGCAGCCAGCACTGGACTGTTGCCAGAGAAAATGACAATAATGGCACAGTGAGAGAATAGTGGTGGCAAGCTCATCTTAAGTGCTCATGACGAGATTGTTTACATCCCTTTTTGTTTTATTCACGCTGCACCTTTGCAGTACTATGAGAAAAAACTGTTTCTATTGTGGCTGTTTCCATCATTCTTTGTGGCAGTTCCCACAGCCACTGCAAGATATGGCAGTGACCAAGATTAATGAAAAAATTGAAGTATGGACTTTTGGGCAAACTGTTTAGGAACGTTGACTAAATCAAAAATCGCTACAACACAGAAGTGGATGTCTTGTTTTCAAGCACCATGGCTTCATTGAAAAAATTCTAGTTTACAGTGGACCTAAAAGCTTTTATGGCAAAGTTATTTTCCTGTAGTAGGAGATTCCTCAATGCTACATGCCAATCTTGACATCTATAACTCAATTATATTATTTAGCTATTATAGTGAAAACTTTGCGAGTTTATAAATCCAGCAAAACAAGAAACTGGCTGTAAGTAATTGGTCACACAACTATGGTTAATGCAGGTTTAGGATATTAGTCCTGAAGGCATGTGGAAATATTATTCATCATATTTCAAATTGTTGTAAATCGCAGTATATTTTCAAATTCACATCGCACTCTGCTCATAGATCATTTTTTCTTCCTTACTTTTTCCTCATCATTCTAATCAGATTGACACCTGTACAAGTAAGAAGTTGCACTGTTTTAGATTCTCAGGTTCTTCCGCCTATGCTGCACCACATTATCATCTTAATTAAAAGTCATTAAGAAATGCATGAGCATCTCGACAACCATTCCTGACAACTACAATGCTCTGCTGATTGGGTTTGGTGGGCGAAAGTGGACGGCTTATTTGGACACCATTTCCTGCAATAATCTTTACAAGTTGCATTCACAAGCCTGGACAGAGCCACGACACTGCACTGATTAAAGCATTTGAGCTGCCAATGGAAGAAGGACTGATGCACACGTGAACACAGCTGCGACTTTGCAGGTATAAAAACAGTGCCGGAGTCGAAGTTCAATAGGGTTGAAGCTGCACTTGGTGGTGATGGGTTATCATGCCTTTTAAGTCAAAGTTGAGAACTTCTAATGAGCCCAAAGGGGACAAGTAAGACATGACACTCGCTACCTCCACTGTCACGACATAGATATGGTACAGTAACAGGGCAGCTGAGAATAGAAGGAGACTAATTACGTGGCGCCTCTCATCACCAAGAGCGTCACCGAGCCGCTAGGCCAGGGAGAAAGGAAGAGACAGGATAGGACCAGAACGGGCTAAAGGTCATGAAAGAACTAGGGGGGGGGGGGGGGGGGGGGGGGGAGCGGGCAGCAAACACTAGCGTAAGGGCAGGAAGCGGAGAGAAAGGACTTTGCCGCCGGTGTTGCCAGGGCGTGCCGGCCGGACGCATCCAAAGTTCACCGCACGCCAGCTGGAATCGAGGTAGGCACATCAAGGCGGCGCCTCGCACTTCACGGTGGCAACTGGCAAAGCTTCCGCGTAGCGCAGCGGTTTCTTTTTTTTTTTCGTTAAGCGCAGACGCCCAAGCTCGCGGCGCCGCAATACGACGTCAAAGCCGGCAGCGGGCTCGCGTACACGACGGCAAAACAGCTGTTGCCATCCGCGCAGACGTGTGAAATCGACGAATATGGCCGCGGGGTGCGCATGTTTACCACTGCGTGGACGCGCACAGTACGACACCCAACTCCCACGCAAAGAAATAGGGGTGAAGATCGGAATGCGGGCTTGTAAACACGGACGCAAGAAATGCGTCCCAGCGGCGCCTCGTTAGTCGGTCGGTCGTTCGTGACGCTTTCTCGAGTCTGTGCTTGCATGCCCCAGTATCTTAATAACATGAGGGATGGCAGCCGAGCCCACACGCGTCGCACCTATGAACAAGCGACTAGTGGACGCGACGATGTCCCTGACGCCCTCGGCGGCCAGGTTGGCCAAGCGGAGGAGCCTGGCGCTCTCCTGCCGCTCCATGGCTGGTCCCCGCAGCGTCTCCTGCCCGGGTCGCGAAGCACCGAGGGCGAAATCCACGGTTCACCACCGGCCGCGGTCCAGTGCGTGCTGATGCTGCTGCTGCTGATGGTAGTGGTGGGCACGACAGCGCTCGCCGCGGTCGGCTTAGGTCCTTGCGCGACGCGACCATAGCGACGGCGCGGACAGGGGCGAACTCTCGAAGCTCGTCCGTTTTCAGCTGCTGCCCCTGCTAGCATGGACGGAGGAGGCCCAGATGCGGTCGCGAACGCACTCGATCGACGCCGTTGCGTTTTCCCTTTCCCCTCGCCGATAAGAGGCCTCGGCAGTAGCGATACAATGTTCTTGGGAAAAAAAAAAAAACTGCCACAACTTTGTGGCGTGAACCCACGAGGAAATCAGCACGGTTTCATCAGAAGAAAAGCTGCTAAGATTTCTGTGCGATATCATAATTCCATTTCTGAATCATTTCGCCACCTTGCGGGATCCCTCGAAGCAGTAGACAATGGCCCGCACCCACTGAGGGTGATTGATGACTGGCCGAGAAGCAGGTGTATATAACACCCTAAATAAGCCACTCTCCTTGCATTTTTTTTTTTCAAGTACAGTACTAAACCACTATGAAACTCGACACGACAGACCCGGGTTCGACGCAAGCCACGACGGCGGCTTTTTTTTTTTTTTTCGAAAGTCTGCTTTTAGCCATACCAATTTTGATTCAAATATACACATGCAGGTTTTCCTTCGTGTATGGAGTCAGCAACAACAACAAAAAAAAAAAAAAAAAAAAAACGGCGGGGAGGTCCACGAATCCAGCGGTCAAAGTCGGGTGATGCCTGTTGCACGGAGGTGACGACGACTGCCTGCACAAGGTAGGATGTGGGAGAGGGAATACCCTTCTTGACAGATAGAACTGCTTTGTTATTTCGTTGAACGTAAATAAGGACAAAAGAGAGCGTGAGATTCAGAAGAGAGGCAGTTGCAGCGCACGTGCGGAAGAAACGCTCATTTGTCCTCGCGTTCATCCCTGCCCACGCGTCTTCGTGCGCGGCAGTTTCACCAAAGAGCTATATCAACTTCTCCTCTTTGCCTGTCGCGCGTCAAAGATCGCGACCTTTCGGCGGTGCGTGGCCTTGCGTCACACCTATGTGACGGCGCGTATTGGTGAAAGCGAGGCTCGAGCCAGGGACGCGAAGAGAAGGTGGGGGGCAAGCCGTCCAGCCGAACCCTAGGCGGGTACGACGCCCCCGCACTGCGCCACGCTCGCAGACAGCGACGACGTCGAGAGGCGTGCCCCGCGGCGGGACACATCATCGATCGCCGCGCCGTCTGGGAAGCGCGCCCCGGGCTCACCTTTTCCCCCACAGAGCTCTCACCATCGCCTATACCCGGCGAGCCGACCCGGTGGCTGATCGATTGATTGGTTCATTGGTTTTAACAACTTCTAATAAAAAAGAACGACATGCGGTATGACGACATAGCGGTGGCTCCGCACTATACCGTGAGACGATCCGAAATCTCGCTCATCATCCACGAAAGGAAGCTGGCAGTTCGGCCACCGCCGCCCCGGAGCGGGAGAACTGCCAGCTCCTGCAGGGGCGAATGACCCTTGAATACAAATGCGAACGCATTTGCTTCTTCTCCGCGCGTATTATGTTTGCAACACCTAACACACGTGTATTGTGCCGTCGTGTATTCCTTCTTCCTTTGTCCGTGTCAGTTTCATCGCTCGAACAGGAGCTCGAGTGGTCGTGCTGGGTGCGCGCGATTTCACTACAGTCGTGCTTCACATCAAAGCCACGCGAAGCGCTGCCGCCACAAATCCGCTGCACGCATTCGACTTTCAGAAGTGTGTCCAATGTTGTTCGAAAATCAGCAAAAGACGCTAGATAGATAGATATGTGGGGTTTAACGTCCCAAAACCACCATATGATTATGAGAGACGCCGTAGTGGAGGGCTCCGGAAATTTCGGCCACCTGGGGTTCTTTAACGTGCACCTAAATCTGAGCACACGGGCCTACAACATTTCCGCCTCCACCGGAAATGCAGCCGCCGCAGCCGGGATTCGAGCCCGCGCCCTGCGGGTCAGCAGCCGAGTACCTTAGCCACTAGACCACCACGGCGGGGCAGCAAAGGACGCTATTTACTCGCTGTCTTCACAGTTGCTTTTTCTGTAGCGGCAGGCCTCTTCAGAGGGTTGAAGACATTGTTTGGAACAGAAACGCTTAATTAACTTTTTACTAAGCGGAGTTACAGGTAGTTAAGTTAAATGGGAGAATCAAAGTCCCTCATGCGAAGAACCGATTGCCGCTTTGACATTTTGGAAAAAAAAAAGCGGCATCTACTAATGACTGCGAATTAATGAAATCCTCCCCAATTCTGCGGCGAAACCGAAACGTGAAAGAGCGCAGCTGAAAATGACAGAGCGTTTTGATATCAATCATCAACCGACTTCGTTGTGTGGGTGTGTGGGCTGCGTTCGCAATTACAGCACGCATGACGCGCGCATACGTTAACGAACGGGGAAGAACTGCGCCCCAGTAACCACTGTTTTTGAACAGGGACGTAGTCGTATAGTCGTCTGCTTGTTGCGCTCGTCGTTCCCTTGGTTTGCGTTGTGTCGCAGAATTTAGGAGGGCTGAACACGCTGGGCGAGTTGGTAATTCATAACTATACAAAAACTGAGCGAAAAGGGGACAAGAAACACAGAAGGCACACACACACACATCACATAAGCGCAGTGTGCGTGTGTGCCTGCTCTGTTTCTTGTCTCTTTTTCCCGCAGTTCTCGTAGTTAAGAATTTAGAGTTTCCTTCATTCGTAGGTATTAATTACTAGACGCCGCTTTTCCGAAATCTCAAAGCGACAATGGGT